TCCGGTATGAGCAGTAAATAACGCGCTATATACTCTACATATTAAAATATAACTCAATATAATTACTTATCCTCAATTTGCTATTGATCAATCAATTTTTTTGTAAAAAAAAATTAAAAACTTGCTATTTTGAAATTAAAAAAAAAAAAAAAAAATTATTATTTTTTCATTTTATTAGATACAAAAAATAAAAAATTTTCTTTCAACGTAGTTCAAAATTGCCAAAATTATTTTTTAAAAATGTAATGCAAAATATTTCCTGGATCAAAAATTATATAATATGTCATAACCTGGTGGAGCAGCAACTATATGAATGATAATAATGATAGTTTATTGATAAAAAATTTAGCGATTTTACCTACCTCGAGGCTATGGGTCAAGATAAACCAATTCGTAGAAAAATGTCTAAGTCTTTTCAAGGTTTTGACAGTTACTTTCGTTATAATACACAATCCATTAATAAGGAAATTAAGCGGAAAATGATACGAAAATAAAAATGTAGTATACATTAGTATTATATTATAATATTATACACCTATAATATGGACTCGGAGCTGTTTCTTTTCCTAATAATTTTGTACAAAAATAAAATACAATTTCTTTATAAAACAGAAATTGTACAGATCATCAAAATACTCTTGTCATAAACTACCATTTGACTTAGTTCCTTTCTTATGTGCAATGTGGCTTGATTTATATCAATAAATAAATAACTTTATGGATGTTTTAAAAATGATATCCTGTGCACATTTTGAATAAAAAAAGCGAAAAATTGCTGTTAATGCAAAAAATACAGAAAAACCCTCAAAAATTCAACCATGTACTAGTTTTTAATTTATTTTTCAATAAATTCAATGGTGTATTTAGATTATACGTATTAGATTTTAAATAATAATTTTATAATTATTTATTTTGAATAATTATAAATAAGGTGTATAAGCAAAATTAGCAAAATACTCTTTGATACTTGATTTTTACTTTGTACACAACAAGTTACCGAGAAATTAAGTATCCGAAAAACTTACAGCCGGCTGAAATTCCACATCGAATTCATATAAAAAACTCAGCACATTGGTATCGTGGCACAAGAGATTCGCAACATAGTTTATTATAAGATTATATTTGATAATGATTAATAATACTATAATGGAAAGCGTTTCGATGCGAATTTGTTAAATTTTATAATAATTTGTACATTTATAATTTTTTCAACAAACGTGGAACTGTATTTTTATTTTACATTGTAAAATGACTTTCCGAAACATTTGCAAAAATGCAGTTGAAAAAATAGTTTTTACGTGGGTGTGTGATCTTTTTCAAACTCTTTNAAATAACTTTTTCAACTTAATTTTTGAAAATGTTCCGGAAATACTGCGTCCTTTAAACATATATAAAATTAAAGCTTATTTTATGTACTACAAAATGAAAAAAAAAAATTTGTCCCGACGATCTATCTTCTATACGCAAATGACTGCCGTATTCAAAAATATGCTATTTTTGTATTAAAATTATGGGTTTTGTATTTTATTTTAATAGAAGTTGATGTTGCTTTTGCAATTATCCATCAATTTTTTTAAATTAAACACTATCTACAGATTTGCATCGAAGCGTTTTTTTTTATTTAATTTCATAATTTTATACCAAAAGATAGTTTATTGTATTACAATGAAAAAATTATTATTTAAAAAAAAGTTACAGTAATTTTAAAATGCAGACAATTATTTTTGAGAATGCTGTTTTTGACGAAGTTTAGACATATTTTTCTAAATGTCTAAAATTGAAGAGTTTTAAATTTTTAGCGGCGATAGGATCAATTAAATTGAAATCGGCTTCTTTGAGGTAAAAAATATTAAAATCTGTCCAGTGAGAGGCGAGAATTTCATGAATAGACATAAAAAAGATACACATCACAAAACCAATACTTTCTCAGTTTAACATCAAAGATAAAATTATATACAAGTAAATGACTGTTGTCCTATGTAATTAGGTCATTAGTATATAACAGCAAAAAAATAAAATGGCAGAAAGTATTGAACGACAGGTGCAGTAGCTTTGTTCGTGTTTTCGTTTCGTTTTGTAAATAATGTATTGTTTATTGAATTACTTATACATTATGCATTTGTATTTTACTGTATTATTGATGTAATATATCTTAAATTAATATTTCCAAGATACCTTTGAAATTAAAAAAGCCTATTATGCAAATTTGTTAATCTAGTGACTATAGGATATTATATAATCATACACAGGGACAAATTTACAGATAGGGGGTCAAGGGAAACTGGATAGAATTAAATCTTAATATGTATTATAAAAAAAAAATATTTTTCAAAACCTTTCCAGAAAAATATTAAAAGTTGTCTTTCTTAATTTATAATTTATAGAATAAGGTTATTCCAATTAATTTTAAATTTCATTTTTAAAAATACACAAGGCGATTTTTTAATGTTAGCCATTAAATTTCTTTAAAAAAAAATCAAGTATTTTGAAATAATTTGTTTGGGTTTTGTTAGTTACTATTTTTACCATGTTTTTAATGGTAACATACATATTAATCCTGTTCAAAAAAAAGAAAATTATCTAATTATGACTGATCGATAACAACTTTTGGACAGGTGATTTGGATAACATTCCATTTTTGTATCTAGAAGGAAGGAGTGCAGTCGAAAAATGACTAATGATAAAAATAACATTATTCATTCATTTAAATTCAGTCTATATTTTAAAATTCTAATAACTTTCAAAGTATAAGTTTTTATCGACCAGTCATTTTCTATTTTATAACCAAGTTTAATAGTTATGTTGCCATCTAAAAAATAACGTCAATGCGCTTATAATATATTAGGGATAGACCTTAAAAATATTATTGTTTTACAAATGGATTTACGTAGTAACTAACGAAATCCAAACAATTTTTTTGAAAAAACTGATTATTTTAAGAAAAGTAGAAAGGTTTAAAAGAATCATCTATAAAAATTCATTAATCATTTTTTAAAAATTAATTTCAAATTTCAACATTTTATTATAAAATATTTTACACCAAAAACAATAAATTTAGAAACAGTTATATTTAAATTTTTGTTCTATAGTTTAAGAGATACGCTAACAAAGTAACCTTGTGCGCACGCCTACATATAACATTATAGTAAGTGAATTTATTATAAACCATCAATCAGTCTTACACATTAATTATTTAAAATATAATTAATTTTATAGCGCTCTGTAATAGAATATTAGTTAAATTTTGACTACTCCAATTATTAATATATGAGGTACAATTGAATTGCCTTGTACTAAATATACAACAAATAGGCACATTTATTACATAGTTAATTATGTATACATACACAATAATAACTATGTTACTAACTTTAAAGATAATATATCAACCTAATAAAATATGTTCTTGAAGTCAAGGTTAAATAACGAAAAGTAATGAGGTTTAACCCTCATTTGAAAAAATAATACAATAATTGCTTAAATTGTAAATGAATGGGATGTAGTGTTAGACATCTAAATCAAACCATTGTTATAAGTTTTACTGACTCCTCTAAAAAATATAGTTCTGTTTACGCCTATGTTAAGTGCAAATACAGAATTTTGGCGCGGAAAAACATACTACACATGAACTTAATTTGAAATTACTTTAATACTTGACTATTGAAAACTGACTTATTATAAACTGAATATTTTTTATTTACACTTATTAATTAATCGTATATATTTTATCAGAGATAGACAAATTTAATATTATAATTTACTAATAAATGATAAGTATTATTGTTCTTTAGAAATCATTTATGTCTATAACTACACACTGATACTATTTTAGAAATAATAAAATATTAATGAAATATTTTTTCAATATTATAATATAAAATAAACAATACATTAATATTGTAAGTTATATTTTATTTCTAAAATTATATCGACTAATTAATATTATTAGGGATATTAACTGGTATAACAAATTCTGTAGCGTAATTAGAATTATATTCTAGGAATATACAAAAAAATTTTCAATTTATTCTCCAAATAAAAAGTTTTATCTTTATTATTTGCAATCTATCATCATTTGACCCTCTTAATTACGTTCCTGTTAAGCTTAAGTAAAATAAATAAATTTATTGGTCTTAAAATAAATATATAAAAGTAAAATGGCGAAATCATTCCCATTTATATTGATTAAACTATTTTAAAACTGTCGATATATTTAAAAAATAAATACTTTTTAAGTTCGCAATACGTTATAATATTTACGATTACCATACTAAATTTAGTTACCAATTTCTTTTCGCTATAATTTTTATTTCAATTTCAGTGTACAGTTTTTTTATTTATAAAAAATGTTACGGTTACTGACTTTTTAGTATTCAATACACATATTTTATTATATATCTCTGGTGGTTGTCCATTTCATAACGGTAAACGAGTGTCTGTTTAAAAACGACTATCATTATCATTATCCTCAGTGTAGGGTTTTTTTAAATTACATCATTATTTAATTTTGATGAATAGCATTAAAAATCAGGGATGGACTGGGGAATATTCGCCCTATTATGTAAAAAATAAAGGCAACAACCCCAGTTATTACGCCACTGACTATATCACTTGCTTATTGTTTCATTTTCTTTTTTTAATAAAGTAACAAGGTTGGAAGTTTCATGGATTTTATTTTTCTGACTATAAATTTGATTTCAGTTCATCAAAACTTTTAACATTTTTTTATTTCTTGGGATATCCATTAAAATAAAAAAAAAATGCAAAATAAAGAGTTAAAATGAATTATTTAATAGTTGTTAGGTAAAATTTTACAAAACAACTATTTGCTATTAAAAGTGTTTTAAAAGTAGCATTAAAAAAAATCACATCGCAGCTTAACTAAATTGTATGTAAGTGTATATTTTTTTGTCTAAGTTAAATAATAAAACGTAATATATAATGAAAACTACTTAAAATTGGAAATCGTTAAAATATATACTAAATTATTATAGTACTACCGTAATAGTCTTTTTGTAATCTTCAAGTTGTCGATCAGTCGGATCTCTAATTTTCGACATTTTTAGTATTTAATTTAGATTTTTTATTTTATTCTATATTACGTTTAATACCGCGGTATTTATACTTTTAGTAAGACGAATATTAGTAAAATACTAATTAATTAGTAAAATGAAGATTTAAGAATGGTTATGTAATTAAAAATGAATGAATTCAAGGCACTAACTGAAATTCTTCAAGTACGAAACGAACGCTAGTTAGTGAGTGACTGACATAAAAGAAATACTTGTTATTGTTAATTGCACTTAAATTTTTTATCACAATTGTTATCTAGCGACCGGTTATAAATATAAACTATGGTTATGTCTAGGAGTTTCTTCTAGAGATAATAAAGAATGAATAGACGATGGTATCTTATCAGACAATACCGAAAAACTACCTAAGATGCTAATTTTTTTTAGTCCATGAATAAATGTAATGAATAATTTTTATTTCTATTACTCAAATTATAATATGAATAATATTATTATGTTAATAAATGATTTATTTTATTAAATATTATTATTTTTAATTTTCGTAATATTTTTATTTAAAAATTAATATTTATTTTTATATTAATATTTTCTGCTTCATCTTGTAAATGCAAATCTTTTTTATACACGATTGAAAAAAGTTTTTGAGATTCTATGCAAGTTCTATCTATTTATTGAGAATTAGGTATTTTCAACTAGATTGCACCACGTAACATGGCCCCAATTGTTATATCATAGATTTAATAAATATAGATAGGCCATAACACTAAGAATAAAGGCAACAGATTTTTTTTAATTTATACTAATAGAGATAGTATATTCTATATATCTTCTCGAAAAATATTTTATAATAAGTTCAGCTTATGCCTGTCACCACTTATTCTCAGCTATCATAGGACCGATTTCTTTGAACGATAAGTCAAAAGATCACACATCGTATCAAGTTGAAAACATCGCACGTCACAATATTAAAAAAAAATTATTTATATTAATGCAATAATATATGAAATTATTTTATTATTCATTAAAATTCTTTGAAGGAATGCTAAATCTGGTTGAGGGTACTAATGTAATCCTAGGGGTCCTAATGTAGTCAAAACACCCCTCTGTTTACATCTATGATGATAAATAGAATGTATGTTCATCATGTCCATTCCCAAAAATTCTAGAGTGACGTTTGCAATTGGGAAAGAGCCAATTGGATTACTTTGCTACGGGCATTATTAATATAGTTATGCTATTAAAATCAGATCCGAACTCTGAAAAATATTCTATAATTATTATTAAAACGTAATATTACATTGTAGGTTTCTCTTATTTATACATTATACGGACACTCGGAACCGGATCTGCGATTTTTCTCTTTGGTGAATATATTAAGTTTATCAATAATACCATAACAATAATTGTAATGATTGACAACGTCAAAATTGAAACAATTATAAGAACAAAAGTGTGAAAGTTCATGAAGTCCAGGGAAAAATTGCAACTCTATAGCATAAAATGATTGAATCATTATAAATAAGATAGTCATAATATTGTATAATATTCTTTACTACCTTAGTAAAAACGGAATTCACATCTGAATAACTTTGATAGAGGTAACTACACTTTTGTAGTAATCTAACTGTCATTAAAGAATTACAAAAAGTTTCAATTTTAGTGTTGATAAAGAATGAATATTATTTTAATTATAAAACAATAATTTATCAATTTTGAATTTCCGTTAAATAACTCAGAACAAAAAGGGTTTTTGAAGTAAAAATTTACAATTTAATTCAAAGTTATATTTTGTCACATAAAAAAATTATCAAATGAAAAATCAACAACTTCAAGATTAATAACTACTGCGAAAAACAATTCCACTGACTCCATTTTTTTAAACAAGATCTTTAAATAAGATTATGATCACCAGTCTTTTTAAATTAATACATCATCATTAGATTCTATTAGAATAGAAAAATTAAGAATATAGTCTCGTTCTATATTGTATGGTACAATGAAGTATAGTATAGTATGGCCTAAGAGGCATATTTACAATGATTTTTACTAAATTTTAAACTAATCGTTAGAAATATGTGTAAGTTCAATTTAATATGATTTTTAATTTACATAAACAGTATAAGTGCTTTGGGCAAAGTAAAAAAAAATAATAATATAATAATAAAAATATAATTAAAATAAATAAAGGAAGAGGTCAACTTAAAATAAATTTGTGTAATTGATTGTTGTTGGATATACAAAAAATAGATACACCTCCACTAAGAAATAAACAAATTATTTACAGTCATGGATATACACAGTATTCTGGGAGAATAACATCATTATAAAATTATTTCTAATTAGTAATATTTATAACAATTTGTAAATATTTTAATTGTTTGGGAGTAAAGTATATTTAATTTACAAACAGTCATAATGGGTTAAACAGAACATAGTTACAATATCAACAATAATTTTATTTTAAAAAATTATATCAGATAAATAATTTAATTCACATAGAATTTTTTACCCGTATTTTTTTTTTGCTACACACCTTAGATTTAATAATTTTACTCTTCCTAGATCATTAAACTAGGGAGAACAGCAACAACCCTGATGTTTCCCAAATGTTTCAAATTAAAAATAGATTTAGCGTATTCATTCTATATGTTACACCTGAAAATAAAAGATAATTAAGTAAAATTTAATCAATTAATAGCCACAATGTAATAAGAAAAAGGTATTACTCATTCTATATTTACTTTGGTCTTAGCAGTAGCTGAAGGAGTTGCGCTTTGCTTACTAACTATAGTAACTGGTTTACTATTATTATTTTTGACAGAAAGATTTTGTGCCTTGGGAGGCTGTGGAATAATTGTTATCTCGTCATTTATTTTCAAGGGCTAAAATTAATACAATACAATTTTATGACTAATTATACTGATTACTTAAAAATTAATTAATTATTTTTTAGTCTGTATCAAAATAGTTGTTATAAAATAGAATAAAACATTTTTTAATAATTGCTACTAAAATTCATTTATTTAAAAAAATAGTCTAAATTACAGCTTTTAACTATAATTTTCAATAATAATATCCGGGATTTATAAGACTATTAAGATATGATGATAAGGCAAATGATGTGGAAATTAAATTTAGTATACCTTTGGAGTAGACGACACAAGAGAAGATGAAGAAGCGGATGTTGCAGTTTGATTAGTAAGAGATTTTTTACTTGAATTTTTAGCAACGTTACTATGGGCAGAATATACATGATTTTCGAACTGCTTATACATCCCAAATGTTGCCGTACATACAGTACATTTATATGATAAATGAGCAGGCTTCAAAGACATAGAGTGATCACGACTAACATGGTTAAGTAATTTCCATTGATACACTCTACCACAAACTGGACATCTGAAATTTAAAAAGAATCCAAGTTATTTACTATCATAAAATAAACATTGAATTTGATATTTTACCTTCCGCCATCTTTTCCTTTATTAGCTGCTTCTTGCATACTAGAAGTAACCAAACCATGTGATCCAAGTAAATGTCTTTCTAATCCTTGATCAGTAAAGAATCTAAACTGACACTTTTGACAATTAAGAGGTGGTCTATTATAAATCATTTTTGGATGTATTTTAACTTTGTGAATCCATTGCATATGATTACGTAATTGTTCTAAATCTTTTATGTAACCATCACATATTTCACAAATGACAAAAGTTGGTTTATTTCCACTATTGACAGATGATGATTGATTTGATTGTTGTGATCTAACTTTTGATATTGAAGAAGAAGTTATTTGTGTATTATTAGATGGAAATGATCGTGGCAATGGAGTAATTGATATACTAGGTTGTTGCACTGATTTATTAGTACTTGAATTTGTCTAAAGAAAATAAATATAAATTTAATAATAGTAATGTGAGATACTATCTTCAATTTTTTTTTTTTTTTAATTATTATTAATTAATAATAATATATTTAATTTGTTATTAATATATATATCAGAGCTAAATATTATCAAATTTAGAAACTAATTGAAATAGTATTAGGAACAATGGCGTATTTAGAAATTTTGCAGGGGGTCTAGAAAGCTTTAGGTATGTTAAGTAGTAGAGAGATTTGTTTTTGAAGGGAATATACATTAGAAAAATTTTCACATCCCCCAAATGAAAAAAATCTTTCCCATATAATTATTTATGTTATAGGGAGCTATGACACTCATATACCCCCATAATTAATTTAATGATAAAATTAGTAAATAAAATGAATTTAATTCAGACAAAAATAATACAGGGTATATAAACAGTCTTTTAATAATAATTATGTACTTAAGGGGTTTCTGAAATAAACGATAAATTTATCTAAATTATTTAGATAAACCAAAGTCACAATTATTAATATAAAACACAGACATTTTTAATCAAAATTATTCTTGCTATGTAGCTAATTACTCTCCGGTATTTTTTTTTATTATACATATTTGGGCAATAATCTTTAAAATAAATTAAAAAAAAAAAAAAAAAAAACGTCCCAATTTCCAAGGTATATTTGATCCTGAAAAAATTATCGCCTCACAAACTTCTGCCTAGGACAAATACTCCTTTTGCCTCTTCTCTATGGGGCCCAATCACCATGATAAAATTAATTCCTTCTTAGCTTCACATTATAACTATATAATATTAGGAGGGCAAAATCAAATACTTCTCTAGTCAGCATTTTTTGTTAGTAGAGATCCAATCACAGCATTTAAATCAAAACTACATATAATAAGAATTGAGTTCACATACTCTAATTACTGTGTTATTATACATTTTGTTTGTTTTATAATTTATATATTTAATAATCAAAAATATTGAAATATATGTATCAGATGTAAATAGGTGTTTGATGGTCAATATTTTTTAAGAGGTAGAGGTGAAAATTTTATCCCCTCCCAAATAGTTATTTATATATAACAATACATTTGATATTGCTAAATTTCTGAGGAGAGCATAATTGTAAACGGAAGGCCCCAAGCTCTCTCACATTCCCTGATAATGTCTTTTCCAATAACTCACTATATTATACAGGGTGATTGAAATCTGGTAAGACACTCATTTTCTCAGAAAATATTGAGAATTTTAAATTTTATTATAGAAAAAAAAATATCAAATTCAAAAAACTCTACAATAACATGTAGTCAAACCATTATTTTTTTCGTCCCTTCAAGGATAAAAACCCTTATTTATAATTTTCTTAAATGGGAACCCTTATTTTTAATTTTATAATATGATAGAAAAAAAAATTACAAACAATTTTGTTCTTATAATTTTTTTTATCCGATTAACCGTTCGCCCATTACAGCTTGTTTAAGTTAAATAATTTTAGACCAAATTTCTATTGTCATTTTACTGTACTAAATACAGAATTCATTATTTTTATTTGCTGTAGCATAAACCAAATTTTATTGATCAAGTTATTTTCGGTGTATTATTAATAACTAAGTCTATGGTTTTGTAAGACTAAAGGATCTAACAAAAATACCGGTTGCACTGCCACCGATATTATGAATCATAATAAATGACAATATTTCTTCTGGAAGTCAAAATCTTTAAACAATTATAAAACGTAAACAGTTATTCGGATAAAAAAATTTATAAAAACAAAATTGCTTGTAATTTTTTTTTCTATCATAATATCAAATAAAAAATAGTGGTTCCCATTTTAAAAAATTATAAATAAACATTTTTATCCCTGAAGGGATAAAAAAAAAATTTATTTAACTTCATATTATTGTAGAGTTTTATAAAGTTAATATTTTTTCTTTTTACAAAAATTTTAAATAATCAATAGTTTCTGAGAAAATAAGTGTCTACCAGATTTCGATCACCCTGTATAATTTAACACTAAAATATTTAAAATTAAATGTTTTGTTGTCATCAACATAAACGTTAATTGTTAAACATGAAAAAAAACGTTTTTTTTTACTCTAACAGTGACATATTTTGAGACTATAAGGGGTTCAGATAGTTTTTAAAATGTAGAATAATGGGGAGATTAACCCTGCCTTAACTACTAATGATATTATGTCCATCTGGACTCAAAATCTCTAAGTCATGCCAATACTAAATAAAATATTTTGAAGGCTTTGTTTCTTTTAAAATACTTTTTGGTAACGCATCTGAAGAATAATAATATATTAAATAGATTTTATTGCTGTAATTAGGGTTAGGCCTTAGAGGATGTACATAACAAAAATTTTTATTTTCTTCTAAAACTGAAAAAAATGTTTTCGCCATATAATTGTTTTAGTTATGGTGACATACACCACTTATTTTCCCCCATGATTATGCCAGTGATTGATTTGAAACACATAGTAAATTTGATTCTATCAAAAATAAATAAGGTGTATATAAAGAAAATCTCTTAATTATATATATAAAACATAGCCACTCATAAATAGAATATATAAATATTACATATAACATATGTGTTGCTTATATAACTATATTATAATTATACATAAAATAAATTACTTGATATGTGTGGTTGTTAAGTGAATAAGGTGTGGGAACTATCATAGGTTGATTTATTGGTTTAATACTTGTATTCCTCAATAAGATACCTATAACAAAATAAATTTACAGTACTGATTTAATTAAAACATTTTAAATCATTCATATATAAAACATAATAAAATTTACAACTTTCTTTTTATTTTAAAGACTAAATAAAATTGTGTACTATGAATACTTTATACGGTCCTCCAAAGATCAACTTATCTTTGAAGTAAATTACATATAATAAAATAAAGTATATGATGATATTATTAACCTAGAAATTGTTTGATAGCAAACCAACAGTACGATAAACAATTACATATATTTTAAAAACTAGACTCCCTTACTCGGACTTTAATAGAAAAAGGTTAGAAAAATTAGTTAAGTTGTTTACTCTTTTACCTAAAGTTAATAGGAAAATCCGTATCATTCTAATTTTTTTTTTCTAGTTAATTGTAAATAAATTTTGTATTACACTCCGAAATCAAGTGTTATCTAAATTAAATGAATGTAATCTAGTTAATGTCACTCTCAACAAAGATAAAAATCTCTGTAATTTATATTTAAATAATGATTTTGTCTGGATATTAAGGTAAATTTAATAGTAAGACAAGCACTACATTTAATTCATTCTTAGAATGGGATAAGGAACAAGATCATGAACAAAACTTTAGCTTAACCCAATCTAACTTATATTTTCCTTGTACCTTTCTCAACTTTATTATAATCCCTTATATTTTCCTATCCTTTGTACTCCAACTTATTTTTTCAATATAACACCTCTGTCATTTTTTTTTTTTTATGCACCCAATAATCTATATATTGTTTAATATACTAAAATTAAGGAAAAATACGTAAATACTAATACGTTTAATCACTTCACACTAAAAATAATTAAAGTATTGATAATACCACCAGGTGATGGATTAGGTAATGCAGGCGTTGGAAATGAAGAAACCATTCCAGGGAATCGTTGCCCTGGTAATACGGCACGACTTCGAGCCCGCACTCCAGAAGCTAAAACCATCTTATTGTATTGTTGTTGTTGTAGCTGTAACATATTAGGATTGGGAAATTGTTTAAATCCAGACATTGCTGCTTGATATACAGCATTTCCAGGACTCATAGATGGTTTGTTTCTTAACACTCTAGGTATTTTGGCAGGAGGTTCCCAATCTAATGGAGGTGACTAAATATAAAAAAAATAAAATTTATAACTATTGTACAATTTATAACAAAATAAATATGTATTAACACATTTTGATTATAATTACCTGATTTATTTCTGGACGGTATTTTTTTGTACAAGAAATCAAATGTCTGGTAAGTTTACCCTTATAACTGTCTTCAAATGGGCAACTTGGACATTGATGTAAGGCTGGCCCTCTTTCTAAGCGGCCTCTTATGTTATGAGAATCCATATGTTGCAGTATTTCATGAGGGTTTCGTACTTGAAAAGTACAAAAATTACATCTATAACAGTAGTTAGCAGTCATATGGGGTGTTTCTAAATGATGAGCCATCACTAAACTTGATTCAGATTTAAAATTACAAAGTTCACATTTCTTCATGTTAAATTGGAATGGATCGTTATTTTCTTTACTAAATTCTAAAGTTTTTATAAGTGAACTAATTGCTATATGTACTTCTTCAGGACATGTGTCACCTTCTCGATCTCTTTTTCGTCTTTGAGTTCTTAATAAATCAAGTTGTACATGTTCTTGTACAAGATTTACCCCTATTTGCATAAAAAATTTACCAAGTGGATTTTCAAAATAGTTAAGACTTTGTTGATTCTTTGATTTTTCTTTTGAATCAGACAATTTTTTTTCATCAGATTCAATAGTGAGATCTGTTATACTATCACATTTTTTAACATCTACAGGTTCTGATAACGTGTTTTTAGTTGAAACTTCATTAGTTTTCACTGTGTCTGAACCATCTATATCCATTTTCTCATGTGACTCATTACTTTTCTCTTGAAAATTTTTTTCCAATATATCATGTTTATTTGAGATAGATTCTTTTTTTTCATCTTTTTTAGTACCATAATTAGCATCAACCTCCATTTTTTCACTTTCAACTGAATTAATACTCTCTTTATCTTTGATATCATTTGTTTTTTCAATTGGTTCATGGTCATTTGATGAGAGACTATTTTTACCATTTAAATCATTTGTCTCTTTGTTATTTTCACTTTTTTCTTTCAATTCTTTTTCAATTTTTTCAACAAATTCTTTAAGAGGATTTTTAGGAGGTTTTTCATAGACATACGGCACAATAAATGATGGAGCTTCTACAACAAACATATCATCTGTAAGAGTTGGTAATATAACAGGAGTTTTAGGAACAGCTGGAGAAATAGGAAGAACAGGTGATGTTTGAGGAGTTGAAAGAATAAATGGTTTAATGGTAGTTTGCGGTTGTTGTTGAACACGATTAACAGTATTTTGCATTGGTCGATTATTTTGAGATACACTAATTGTATTTTGCTGAGTACTAGATTGTACTGAAACTGATATAGGTAAATTACTTCTTCCAGAAAGCATATTGGTATCTATTATAACTAAAGTTGGTTCTTTTTTATTACTTTTAGGTTTTGTACCAGCAGCAATTTCTACTAACTTTTTAGTGTCATTAACAACAATAGGTTTAGTGGATGTTATCATAGGTAACTTCAATGGTGATACTCTAACACTATCCTCTATAACTGCTTCTTTTTTTTCCTCTTCTTTATCTAAATAGTTTTTAGATTTGTTAATATTTCGAGAACTTCTACGAGGTGTCAATGTAATATCTGGTAAACTTTTGACTTTTTTCTTACTAATATTATCAGATGAATGATAAGGATCTGCTACTTTAACAATAGTAACAGATTTATCAAGGTTTATACTTGAATCTTCCAATGATTTTTTTATTCTATCCGATTTAATTTCAGTGTCATTTTGATCATGTACATTATTTTCATCAGTAACATCTTCTACTTCTTTTATTTGTTCTTCATCTTTATTTGTTTGTTCTGTAAATCTATTGGTTTCATTTTGTTCATTATGATCATTGTTTTTATCTAAATCTTCAATACCATTAAGAGTGTCATTTTCTAAACTACTCGAATTGTTTAAATTATTATCAAATTCTTTACTCATACTATCAGATTTACAGATACTAATATTTTTATTTTCATAGTTTTCAAGATCTTTAATTGATTTACAAATTTCATTTTCATTATTACTATTTGATAATTTTTTTTCACTTTCTATTAAAACTTTGTTAGAATTTTCACTGGATACATGATTTTTATCATTTGTGTCTATTAACTTTATAGATTTTTGATTTCCACATATATCACCATTAATTTGAATACCTATGATTTAAAAAAATTGCACATGAAATATTATTATTAACAGTTTATTCATTTTAAACTTAACAAACAAAAATTCTTACTTGAATCAGATTCTTTAGTCTGCTTGATTTCAGTATCAGCCATAGTATTAATTAATAATCAAATTTGCAATTGTATCTATAAAAATTTAAACATTTAGAAATATTCCAAGCCATTTATAAACATGTAGCTTTATAAAATATATATTTTTTATTACTTAATAGATATTATTTTAGGGTTATGATCAAAAATATATAATGAGGAATTGTTTTTGTATTTGAACATGAAGCATCATGACATAAAACTTACTCAAAACAAAAATGTATTTTATAAGTTACAATTCATATTTTCTAAAATTTTGTATGTTCATAATTTATTAATCCCAGAGAACTCAAAAATTCCTATTTATCAAAAGAATTAGATATTAAGTGACTGTTTACTAACTATTAAACTAAATTTTTTCCATCATCATAAAAAAATTAATACTAAATTGGATTTAATTAACAGATAATCACTGTTTACATTTTAATTTTTTTGTATTTTAAAACATAGAGAAAAATGATGTTTAGTTAGATTTTAGAAATGACCTACTTACTTAAGTACTAAATGTACAAGTGTATTAATGACCTAAATAATAATGAAGTAATACATTTTAGAAAAGTAATAATTTCAAAAAAAATTAATAATTTTCTATAATATTTCAATTTGACATTAAATTTTTGTATTTCAAGAGTAATATAGCAAGTAATAATTGGAATAGTTGAATAAATGTAAATTCCGGTACAATAACATTCATAACAATGATAAGAAAATAATTCAAATTGACTATTCAATAAAACTCCCATAGTAACAACTATAGTTAAAACATTTATCTAAACATACACAATATTAAAACTTAAACAGAAGCTGTAGGTAAACCTAACCTAGAAGTTAACTATACTACAATTAAACGATATTGACAGTCGATTGTAGAACACCGCAATGACACATTATCACTATCACTCTTATAAGAGTTTTTAGGTATAAAAAACAACCGTTCATAAAATGTAATAAATTTAAAAATTTTGCCAAGTAAATTTAAACATCTTAATCATAATGAAAAATAATAAAGGAACAATTATCGAGGAAACTCACATTTTAACGCAATCGTTGATTGATCGGTGATAAAGAAATACAAAAATATAAGGGTAGCCGTGTCTTAATTGTGTTTACGCCACACGACAACCAGACAGAATCGACACAAAAAAATTAACGCAAATGTAATCTCATCACTGACTTATTCCAATAACTGCTCAAATATATGTATTTACATACATACATACATATATATATAAATAAATATATATAAAAAAAAACACTAAAATATTTGAAAATTTTAAATAATTATCATATTTATCGGTATAACACTAGCATTATGGGCAATAAAATTATCTTGAAAAAAAAAAAAAAAAAAATCTAAAAAAATTGAAAGAAAAATAACAATTATGATATGCAATGCGTCCTCTTCTTAACAGGCAAGACGTTAAACGTACTCTCTCACATACACACACACACACACACACACACGAAGCCACACGTCACGCAAACTGGGGGAAAGCCTTTTTAGTTCGGCGGCTAAGGCTGTGTGCTGTCCGCCGCCGCCATAGAGTTGAACGCCGAGCTGAGCATTACACGCCAACAGGGAGCCAACAAAAATATCAAAATCAAGCAAGATGGCGCTGCTGATCACGTGATCAAACTCTGACGTAAAGAACAGCCAGGACAAGGAACTGTTAGCAGAGAAAATTCATGATGAGGATATTACTTCCAAATGAACTTTGAAAAGATAAAGATAAGCTAGGACAAAAGAAAACATAGACGCACCACTACAATAATCATGTAGAACTACTCTAATGGGGGTTTTATCGATGGTTGAAAGAACATATCATTCAAGTAAATGAAAATAGGCATCTAAAAATTATTTGAAAACATAGCCCTAGTTAATTTTAAGACGCGAGTTTCTAAAAGTAAAAAAATTATGTACCGAGTGTAAAATTACGAGTGGTAAAAAAAGTTTTCATTTGAAGGTTTGTTATTGGGGCATAACAATTCAAATATCATGTTTTTCGATAAAAATAGTCACAAAATTAAAAAATTTGAAATATGTGTTCTATATTAAATTTTAATAATTTCAGAACAGGTTGACTTTTTCTTTTTTTTTCTTTTGTATGTTAGGTCGTTATAAATTGCTAAGAACTAAATGTACGCTAAGTAATAGGTGGGGAAAAGGGAGAAGTCTATGTTTTCAAGTTGTGCACTTAGGTTGGCCAGACTGATTAATGTATGGTGCTTGGCCCCTGTATTTTATGTATGCGTAGAAAAGCGATGGCGCGCCCAGAATTTGTTAGGTGGGGGTAAATACATTTTTGTGCTACTCTGGGATCTACCAGTAGGGAAGGTTACCGCGGAAAAGACGGGGAAATTTTTTTTAATTCAGTGATCATCTTTTCTTTAGCCTTTAAACAACTTCAAAAGAAACTATTCAAAATGATTCAGAAAAATTAAGTTAAATTTACAAAATTTAGACATTCATTGAAATTTAGAATCGTCACATTAAGCTAATAAAAAAATCATAATTTAAAATAATTAATACATTTTTTGGGATAAACCCAACAGTTTTTATTGAATAACGTATTTGTTAACAATTCATTTTACATTTAACAAACGTTAAATAGAAATAGAATTCAGAATAACAACCAAATTAAAATAATTAAATTCCCAAACCTAGTCACTATTGAAAATTATAATTTAGTAAATTCACCTAAAAAGTTGTAATGTCACTATATTACTAATTAAAAAAAGAAAAAAAAAGTTTTTAATAATTGAAAGACCAAACAAATATATTCAAAGAACATTAAATTTCAAAACACAAATATTTTTCATTCTTTTCCAAAAATTCTTAGTACAGAATTTAATTTAGTGCCCAGGATTTCCAATATTTTTAATTTATAATTGTTTATTTTATACCAATAATACTAAATAACAGGGCGTATTTTGAAACTTTTGTAAGGGGTTCAGATAGTTTTTAAAATGTAGAATAATGGGGAGATTAACCCTGCCTTAACTACTAATGATATTATGTCCATCTGGACTCAAAATCTCTAAGTCATGCCAATACTAAATAAAATATTTTGAAGGCTTTGTTTCTTTTAAAATACTTTTTGGTAACGCATTAGAAGAATAATAATATATTAAATAGATTTTATTGCTGTAATTAGGGTTAGGCCTTAGGGGATGTACATAACAAAAATTTTTATTTTCTTCTAAAACTGAAAAAAAAATTTTTCGCCATATAATTGTTTTAGTTATGGTGACATACACCACTTATCTTCCCCCATGATTATGCCAGTGATTGATTTGAAACACATAGTGAATTTGATTCTATCAAAAATAAATAAGGTGTATATAAAGAAAATCTCTTAATTATATATATAAAACATAGCTACTCATTAATCAAAGTGAAAAAATCATACATATAAATTCATGTTTAATATCATAATATAATATTAATTAAATTGTTTATTATGTATTAATTATTATGATTTCCTCTACAGAGCATCTTAATAAACAAAAGTATAGATAAAGAATAGATAAATACATTTTAATGGTATTATTATAATTTTTTTCTTTCGAGCTCCAGACAAAAATATAGCATTAATTAAGAGTAAATACTATACAGTTACAAAATAAATACTGAAATTTTAGTAATAAATCTTTGTGAAAGAAGTTTAGCTTAAAATAAAACATCCTTTAAAAAGTTTATGTAGATTAAGGATACATTTGTGAGGTTTATATCATATAAGATTCTATTGCTGATACTTTAATATTATGGATTAACAGTTTATGATTATATATTTAAAACTATTTTTGTTTATAATGTTAATTATATAAATAAATGAGGTTTTTTTATTTTCTATAATAATTTATCACAAATAATAATTTAACTCTATCTTAAAATTTAATGTATAAAAAAATTATACATACTTTCAACTCAAAGGAATTTTTCATAACAAGTAGATAACTAAATAAAGAAAACTTATATTATAAACAAATTTTTGTTTTTTAATAGCCTAATAAGTAAATAAAGTATCCTTTAAATTCAAAAAGGACCTCAAAAACTCTTCTCCTCAAGTCTTTGAAGTCTCAGTCTATCTCTGTTATTCAGAATTTTAGTAAGAGATATAAAATCTATGAAGGTGGTTACTATATATTAAAATTTAAAAATATAATATTTTATTTTAACCAAAAATCGAAAAATTTTCCAACTATTTCAAAATACTAAATAACTACACTTGAAAATGTTCATCTGGAATAATATCACTTACTACGATATTTATATGATTAAAAAATGAGACATATATAACTTATATACTAAAATTAATTAATACCAAATATTTCAATACCTTATATTATAAATCTTCTTCTTCGTCATCAAATGACAAAACTAACTTTTCGGAACGTTTTGTTTTCTTATTTACTCTATGTTTTTCTTCAGATGAAGGTGTACTTTTAGCTGGGCGTTTAAAAATAATGCGCTTTGTCAAATCAGCTGGCTTAGTTTTTTCTTCTAAAAAAAAATGTATACCTTTTTTTAATTAAACTTTATCTTTATCCTTACAGTGCATATATATATATACACACNTTCTATTATTCTAAGTTAAGAGAAAAAAAAGTTATGAGACATAGATCAGTTATTTCTTTTAAATTTGACTCTTTGACTCAACTTAATAGGCCTGGGGGCACGGGTTAACCTTAACGGATCGGTCCCAAATTTTGCACAGCTCATTTTTTTGACCATTAAAAAAAATTTAAGGGGTAGCGTAAAGAAAAAAAAGACATTCGATTTTTGAGGGCCACCCTAATACACACTCTAAGTGTCCAAATGTTATTTTTTTATTTTTAAAGTAACACAAAATATTTGCTGGATTAAGTTATTTAAGATGTCAGAATAATTGTAAGTTGCCACAACATACTACTTAATGTGAGAGTATAAAAATGTTAATGGAATATTACTTAAATATTATAGTTTAAAATGCTTTATACTTTAAAGCACATTAAAGAAAAATAAGTACATATTTTTATAAATATTGAAATATTATATGTGTTCTGTAAGTAAGGAAATATGTCAGTTATTACAAACAATGAGAACAATAGAAACCCATTTCCTTACTTGCTGAACACCTTTTATATAAGCTTGTACAATTTTTAAACCAAAAATCTATTGATTAATTAAATTATATAGAAACATTTTGTCATAAGTTTTTCTTAGTATTTTTTTTTAATTCAAAAAATGTATTATTTTAAGAAAAGTATATATAGTATAAATAAAAAAATAAATTTATTTATGTATTAACATGATTATAATAATTGAAACCTACGCTACACATAAATTCACAAATTATAAATGACAATAGTTTAATTTTAAACATTAACGATTATAATATAATTACTTTCTATTAAATACCCCATGTATATTTGAGTTAATTTTAGTTGATTCTATTCTATAAACTTTTAAGATAAATTTTATCATTTGTTACAAAAAAGTTGTAGCATTAGTGTTGACATTAAAACTTTGTTAAAAAATAATTTGTTGGTGCATAATAATATGTTCTTTTAATACTGTTTGAAAATACAGCATTTTCAAACATAAAAAGTCATAACAGAATATTACCTTCTTCTTTTTTAAGTTTTTCTTTTAATGCTTGTTCGGCAGTCAAGTCTCCTTCTTTTAACACTACCACAGTTGGATAATCATCTTCATAAGATTCGTTTTCAATGGCTGGGAGAGCTACTTTCTTTGAAAATTAAAATACATTTTATTATACTACAATATTTATAATGATCTATTTATCATATCCCCTTATTCAATTACATGTAAAAAATTATTTTTGGAAATATTTTCATGGCTCTTTTCAGTTACATATATATGTTTTATAATAAATACATAAGTACTTTTTCAGTTCATTCTCTATACTTTAATAGGTTTTCATTTTTAATTTTTTTTAATAAGAACATATATGAGTAACTTGTTTATTAATTAGAAAATCATCAAATTAAAAAATGACTGGTCGATAATTTCTTTGGAAGTTGTTCACATTTTTATACTTATACAGGAATATGGCCAATAAATCTCTAATGATAAAAATATTTGTATCAGTGCTTCACTCCCTAGGTATAAAAATATGAATAACTGCCATAGTATTGGTTCAAAAACTGATACTGACCACCAATCTTTAACTATGTATGTTTCTATTAAAAAACATAAAAATAATACACTTATAAAGCATAGGCTGAAAATTTAAATTATTGATAAATCAAAAATTTGTATAACTAATAAAAACCAAAAAATATATTTTGTAAATTATTTTTATTTTATAAGTCATTAAGTAAATTATGATAAATATAACATTCTGTACGTATATTATATACTGTAAGTAAAATAATATATTTTCATTTATTGATATACCTTTGTATCAACTGTAGGTCCTTCTTTATAGTTAATTTCTTCTTTTAATTTTGTAATGAAAGATGGTTCCTTAGGTTTAATGTAGTTAATATTGTTTCTCTTCGACATTTCAGAGGGGATTAGTGAACAATAGATCCATTACAATATTCTAATGATCTTGATTTTTAACTAAACCTACAAAACGTTAAATTTTCTTTTTTATTAGATTGTAAAAGAAAACAACACATGTTAAACTGTAAACTTTTAATAGTAAAATGATTTAATATACTAAAATTGTTCAAAAATAGTAAAATTACAGATATCTTTATTAAGTCTTTAATTCTATGATCTCGACAAATAATTCCTTACCGTAGAATTCAAATAATTATTGACATATAAATAGAGACAATTTAATTAATAATACAAAGAATATTTAACACATAAATATGAATTTTAATGTAACAACGAATACTTCGAAAGCCAAAGTAACATTCTTGAAACTTTTATGATAAAAACTTATTAACCATCACCTTACTTAACAACTAAGTTTATTTTCAAGTTTTCTCAAATCTAATGGTTTAATTGCTTAGATATAAAATAAAACTCTACCCTGGTATTTAATTTTAAATCGTGGTTATTGGTTATGCTAGAACTAGAACCACAATGAAGGTAAAATTCACAAATGGATTTAACAAAATTCATTGATTAAACACGATTTAATCAAAATTAAAACTAGAACATTTGATATTGATAAGAAATTATACCATGACTATACAACTACAGAATAAATGAAAACAGGTAGTTCACTCGGCCCGATAACAAAACAGTGTTCTGATTGGCAGCGGAACAATCAGTGCAAGCATATGTATGAGCGCAAAATTTATTTTATTATTAAATCTACTGTAACATAAATATTATAAAATTCTGTAAAAATAAATATAGTTTAAAAAAACTAAAAAAACACGCTTTTAAAGCACATCGAACTAAAAAGTTAAAAATAATTTTTAAAATAAGCTTAAAACAATAATGAACGAAAAATAATAGTATTATTGTGATAAAAGCGTCGGGCGCTTAATACACGAAAAATATGGCACAAAGCACCCACGCTTTTATCACAATAATACTAGTATTTTTCGTTCATTATTGTTTTAAGCTTATTTTAAAAATTATTTTTAACTTTTTAGTTTGATGTGCTTTAAAAGCGTGTTTTTTTAGTTTTTTTAAACTATATTTATTTTNTGTTTTTTTAAACTATATTTATTTTTTACTTTTTAGTTTCATGTTATTATAGTAGTTACTATCAATATCATGGTTGTAACGGGTAACGGGAAATCAGGGTTCGATTCCGGGGAGGGAGTCTGAGAAACGGCTATCACATCCAAGGAAAGCAGCAGGCACGTAAATTACCCACTCCCAGAACATGGAGGTAGTGACGAAAAATGACGATACGGGAATCATCCTTTGTAATCGGAATGAATACACTCTATATCCCTTAATGAGAATAAAGCGTGTTAATATATATTTTTAATAGTAATTAGAATATATATATATACATGTAAAGCGACTTAACTACGTAAACGTATCATGCACGAGGTATAGCTGTGTTTTGTTGGCCGGCGAGGCGCGGGGGAACGTTGTACGCGAGGCATATGCGGCGGCTGTAGGAATATATATATATATGTATAAATACACATAGATACATACATATATATACGTAAGGCGCATTAGACGCGGGTGGTATTGGTCAGTCAAAATAAAAATTTGTTTATATATATATAATATATATATGAAGAGTGAATGTGTCAAATGTTCTATGTGCCAAAAAAGTGAAAAATTGTTTTATTTCTGATTTATGTTCTATGTGCCAAAGGCCACAATCTTGTATGTGTTTCAAATGTCAATTAAATTTTTTACTTGTACAAAATTGCATTCATAGGTGGTGTTCGTTATGTGAGACATGCCCATGTTACCATTGTTTTTTGTGTTTTCTGAACAAATATGTTTTTGGCACATAGAACGTTTGACACATTCACTCTTCATATATAAACAAATTTTTATTTGTCATTAATTATATATATTATACATAATTAATGACAGGCATGCGTGTACGGGTACAAAAACCAAAAATAAAATTTTACAGGAAAATATTGTCATCGGCCAGTAGTGAGCAGGGTGGGGTGAATGCGTTACGACGTCTAGTCTCAAGGCCATAGACGACGGGGTACGGGAGTATAATAACACGTGGCTGGTGGAGATTTACAAATAAACACACAACATACAAGTGAAACTAATATAAGCTTGTTAAAAACATGATTATCCAAATAATTTATTTTAATAAATCATTATTAAATCAATGTAATAAACTCATAATGCCTCATTTAGCCTTTTTTATTACCTTTTCAAGATTCAAAATTCCTAAATTAGCATGAAAATTAAGTAATTCTCAGTTTTTATTATGTAAATTATTAACTACTTAAATTTGACTTAAGCAGTTACAATTATTTTTGTCTCTGTATACAAGTACAAATTTAAGGAGCTATGGATACGGGCTTCCTATTATAGTGGGTTCTGGGGTAAAATTTCTATAGGAGAAAAAACGATTTTAAGTATTAATTGGAATCAATTTTATATGTTATAATTAATAACGTACTATCCGGCCGTCATTGTGATTTGCGAAGCCCTGGATAAATTTACATTCCATCAGTTTGAACTATCTAGACCCCCTGAAAAATGTAGAGGATATAGATAACATAAATACATTTACTTATGTACCCATCCCCTAAGGATATTTTTGTTGACTCTGTACGTGCGTGTACATTATGTAATTCAAATGAATTATATAATGAAATGAAGGAAACCTAACAATTTATTTATATTTGTTTTTTTACATTATTGTAAAATATTTGCACAATAATGTGAAATTGTACAACGGTCTTCACTGCTGTGTCCGCTGGCTAATCAGAGAGCTTGATTTTTTTTTCTATTGTTCTCGGCCGAGTGAACTATCTGTTTTCATATAGTCTGTGATACAACGTGAGAAGTTGTTGTTAATAAAAGTTGTTTAGTAATTTTTTTATGGTTGCTATTATTCAGATATTAAGAGTATAAAAGTATCATATAATACTTTGTTTTTTAAAACACTTTTTTAAATTATACATATATTATAATATAAAATACACAAAAGGTGATAAGCAATAAATTTTTTACATCTATGTTAATCACATATCCAAAAATAATTATCAGGAGCGTAGCTTCAATAATTTTGTCTGTATAGTTTATAATCCCATATTTCATACATTTGAATAGAAAATATGATTAGAAACCACCACATTGCTTTACGGTACTATCTTGTAATTGGTAAAAATTATAACAGAATTAAAAAAATTTACAATGTTATATTATATTTTAATATAGTGCCTATTGTTCTCGTTTTTGCCATAATACGCTGTACAATTTTCTCAGTGANGTTCTCGTTTTTGCCATAATTCGCTGTACAATTTTCTCAGTGAAAATGGTGATTAGCTTAATGAAATAAGAAAAAACATATTTTCAGTATTTTAAATACGATAGGATTTACTGTAAAAATAAACAGAAATAATGTTGAAGAATCGGGAAATATTTAATAATTTGGAATAGTGAGGAGACTACAAAAAATATGTCTAATGAAAAAACTTCTATGAATATTTTTGCTTTTTCAATAATTTTGAGATGATTGTGAACAATAATTTAACTTGTTACTATAGCAGAGTGACTAAAGGACAAAACTAACAATGCAATAGATTACGGACCCCATTTATAAAGGTCTCACAATCGTCGATAATTACATAGAGTAATATTACCCTATTGATAAATAGCAAAAAAAATGTGAGCTGTCGCAGGACGCGAGGGATACGCTATGCTAAAGTATTTTAATGTGCTTTATGGTAAAAATAAAATGTGGCTGAATACTTACCCGCTCCTCAACTTGTCTAATTTTTTAAATGCTAACATCTTAAGAGGACATGGTATGGCGAGGTGGTCACACTAGTTGTTGACAAAACTCTATTGTTAAGACGCGCCTACCGCTTTAGGTGAACGGATGGGTGACCATACGTGCGCTTTTACGGTGGCGAAAAAGCACCATGTATTCCCAGTGCAGAAGGGAACGGGAAACCACTGCACTTAAATTTCCCCAGGATATACTAATGGTATTAACCAACCTAACGGTTGTAAAAAAAAAAAAAAAATATCTTAAGACTTAATATTATAAAACTGATTATCGACCAATCAAAATTGTATTTAGTCTCTTTTTAATAATATACAAATATATATAGGTTTTCACATAAATTTAAAAATTTACTCCTTAAAACTAACTATGGAAATAGTGTTTTTTTACAATAAACTAAATATTTTTTTGATTTAGAAAAATTGAAGAGCGTGGTAGTGTTTAGCGTTGCTAAACACTACCACAGTACGTTCAAGTGTACTTATTGTTGGCAAAGAGTGTTTTTTTTTTTTCATAAAATTATAAGCCTTGGACTCAAAAAATAAATTTTTAAAGCAATTTGTTTCATTTCTTTGCTATATCTTTAACACCTTTTGTGTTCTTTCTTTAAATGTGATTTAATATTTAAAATTAAGTTTTTAGATAAACATTTTATATTGTTAATTAAATAATTGAAAAACAAACCACACAAAAAACATGGTGTAAAAATTAACAATAAATAAATAAATTTCAAATATAAAAGGAGTATTCATACATCAATACTGCAGAGGTAAAACGAAACAAGAAAGAGTTAGTAAATTTGAAATGCTTACAACGGCGTCATAACAAACAATTAAAGTTAGTAATGGATAGTTGAAAAATTATTATTTCTTATTGTTTATTTTTCCTATAAGATGTCTACTGACAGAATATGGTTACTTGTTTAAACTTCTTTACGCAAAGGGGGTATCGGAATCACCGATTGGGTTGGAAGTGTGGAGTAGAAGAGCAAGACTCATTTTACATAATGTGCAAATGTGAAGCCTTGTCCATACTAAAATCAAACTAAATCTTTTCCTGAAAAGGAAGATATCAAAAACCTAAGACCCAGAGAGAATGGACCAACAAGTCTGAGTGCTTGGGCATTATGTCCACCTCACTAATGACTAACGCTAAAAAAAACTAAGTATATATTCTTCTATTTCCTCACCGTAATTCCAATTACTTGGAGTCGACAACCCTTACTCTAACTTCCACTTGACACAATCTCCCACATCATCTACTCTCACATTAGTCGTCCTCATATCACATTCAATTACATCTCTTTTTGATCTTCATCTACCTCTTCTTCCTTCAACACTCATTTCCATAACTGTTCTTACAGCTACCAATTCCTCTTTCCTCATAACATGACCAAGTCATCTAAGTTTATTTTCTCTCATTTCATCCATGATGCTACATTTATACTGATTCTTATATAATGTTCCTTATCATATCTTCTCTAGTCACTCTACTAATCCATCTAAGCAACTCATCTCTGCTCTACTTTCTTGTCACTCGCCAAACACTCTGAAACATACATCATAGCAGGTCTCACTACAGTTTTATACAACTCACCATTCAGCCTCATTGGAATTCTCTAATCACATAACATAATGGTTATATCAAATTATCAATATTCCCAATATTGCCAATAAACTGATTTAAATCAATACAATTCTTTAATGCAGTATTAGCTATAAGATTTATAGTATAAGCAAAACATGAGATTTTATTATAATTACGATAAATACGATTGACGCTACACCTACACTCTCTCTTATATATTTGTTCTTTGTTATTAGTCACTCTACTCATTTACCTAAGCATTCTCATCTATGCTACACTCATTCTATTCTCTATTTTCTTGTCAACCGCCCAAGAATCTAAACCATACATCATAGCCAGTCTCACTAGCCTTATAAAATTTACTCTTCAGCCACATTGGAATTTTTTAATCGTATAACACACCAGACGCTTCTCTCAATTTTAACTACCCGAATTTAAAAAAATAATTAATAAAAGTGAGTATTATAAACAATTTACAATTATTGATATATCGATAATATGGGAAATATATGTAAAACTATTATGGACTACATAAAGTTTTAAAGCTAACTGATAGATAGTGTTCGTGTCGTCAATTTTAATTGGCTTATAATTTTTTTCGGTTAATAAAACAGCACGATACTTACGTTATTTAACAGATACTTACGGCCAGAGTCTAAAAAGAGCATTACCGAAATTTCTTATTGTGTGTCTATTTATTTTTAATCAATGGTTGTTTTCAAAAACTATCGTCAGAAACGAATGTTTTTCTATATAATTATTGAACAGCCGAAATTGAATTTATAAAACCGAATTATCAAATATTTGTTATGGTAGTTTGACAGTAAAAAGTATTCAGTTATGTATATTCTCATTTGATAGTTGAACTTGAATGAAAAGTGTAGAATAATTAATTCGGCGGTTTTTATAGAATGAAAATTATTGAATATTTTCTAAGTTCGATAATTTTTAAAACTATCCATAATATTCAGTAGTCAAAACTTTTCGATAGAGACCCTCGCAATTCAATACATATTTTGAATTTCATTAAAGTACAAATTAGGTTTGTCTTTAGTTTTGTGGTTTAAGTTTTACTTTTACCACCGCTTTTACTAACATAAAGAATTATTCTATAATTACTATCTGAAAATAGCATAACCACAGTGTAGATTCTTCACTAAGAAACTTATCTAAGAAATTAAGACCGTGTTAAATATTTATGGTTTATTGTCTCTATGTTCATGGACATCAATAAAATAAAATGTCGCCATCTTGTTTACATATGTCCATTGCCGCATTAGGTTTTCGGTGTTTACAAGATTATATTCAAGTGAAGGCGTCTTTATTTTATAAGTTTTTTTGTCTTATGAATTTTAATTCATATTTATCTAACTATTAGTTTGTTAATCATTAAGTGATTATCTTCCGAACTAATATTTTAGATCTGTGTTATTAAAGTTGTGTAAGAACACAATTTAATTATAAATTGTTTGTTTTACGTTGAATTATTAGTACTATTATAGCTATTTAACACCAATTAATTTTACTAGAGATTATTATGGCTCTAAGCACAAGCCAGCCTATACAAAATAATGTGCAATCATCACCTGGTACTGGTTGGCCCAGACGTACTGCAACTTTAAAATCATCGACTTGTCCATCTCTAAATAGACACATTAATTTGTAAGTATTCAAATAAATTTTATAATTTAGTAGTTCAAGAATAAAAATCGTATTTTTAATCATTTTTATATGGTGTCAAATGTTTGAGTGCTAGATTAATTCTTTCAATTTTGTTTTATTTTATTGAAATCTATTTTTATTTCACCAAACTTTTATATGAAAATCTAAATTAAAATACTTTCTACACTTTAGATACCCATTATCAAATTATAAATTTGGTACCAAAGAACCTTTATTTGAAAAGGATCCATCAGTACCTGCAAGGTTTCAACGGATGCGTGATGAATTTGAAAAAATAGGAATGAGACGAAGTGTTGAAGGTGTTCTTATTGTACACAAGCATGGATTACCACATGTACTCTTATTACAACTAGGCACTACTTTCTTTAAATTGTAAGTTAATACTAAGTCTTATTGAGATCAAAATCAATACAAATTAACTAATAGATTTATATTAATAAACAAATAACTTTTATTTACTTTAATCATTATATAATATTATATATAAATTATATAATAATATATAAATTATTATATAATATTGACAAAATATATGTCTGAAATGAGTAAATAGTATGCTTCAAAAAAGTACTTTAAAAAAAATTCTTGCATTCAATGATATTCTTTTCCAGTTACTCCCTGATTCAGTTAGAATTAAAAATAAGTTTTTTTTTAATTTATATAAGTTGGTCAAGGGATTAAAATAACCTAATTGATGATTTATAAAATGTCGTACTTTTAGACCTGGTGGTGAGTTGAATCCCGGTGAAGATGAAGTTGAAGGACTTAAACGATTATTAACTGAGGTAAAATTTTATATTGTTCAAACTTTTTTTTTACCTTAATTAATTAATAATTACTTTATTTTAATTAAAACAGACATTAGGAAGACAAGATGGTGTTCAACCGGAATGGACTGTTGAGGATACCATAGGAAATTGGTGGCGGCCTAATTTTGAGCCTCCCACTTACCCATATATACCACCTCATATAACTAAGCCTAAAGAGCATAAAAGACTATTTTTAGTTCAGCTACCTGACAAAGGTAACATTAATTTTGATAATACTCAAATGAGTTGAGTAAGTTAATTAAATAAATAATAACAGAAGTGAATCGGTTAGTTATGAGTACTGTCAAATTAATAAAAAAAATTTTCAGATATTATTAAATATCAGTCCCTTATAGGATGAGTTAATTCATGGTGTTGTTCTGAACCAAAACATTGTTTATTATAAAGTATATATCTAGTGATATATGTGTTAAATTACATTTATTATTTTATATTTCACAGTTCTCAATGGCAACATGATTTGCTGGTTCAAAAAGGATCATCCCAGTTGATTGTTAATCTTCAAATACAAGATTGTTATGATTTTTTTTTTTTTTTTTTCAAAAAATAAATTTATCCAATGAGACTTTCTTGATAGGATTTTCTCTTGGGAGAAAAAAGTGAATTTGAAGCCCTGATTTTTACTATAAACTTGTGAATACAAGTTTAGTTGGTTTAATCCAAAGTATTCTAACATTTTTATTCATGTGAAATTCTGTTTAGGATACTGACTCATATTTATTTTCTGTCTTACTAAATTTTACTTTTCATATTTTTAATTAATTTTTATATATAATATTGTTTTTTCTGAATTTTATCCCACACTTAACTTATTTTAAAGAATAGAGTTATTCAAGTTGTTTTCTACATAAATAGTCTTATAAAATATAATAAAAAAACATGTAAACCACAGTTGAATATTTTAATTTGGTGCAAATATTAAATTGTATTATTAGAAGTGAAAATTCTGTTTAACAGATAAAAAACCTTTTATGATAATTGTGCAATCATAATTTATTCTGTTATAAATATTTAACTCTTATTATTTGTTGTAAAGTTTATTATATGAATATTAAAAGTAAACATATGAGGCCAAAGTTAATTGTTATCAATGCAATAATAACAAAAAGGTTATTTAATGCAACTGATTAGTGGTATAAATCTATATATAATATATATAGTAGTTAAATGCTTTTTTATATAAACATTAAAATTTTCTCTTGGGTGTGTTATTAAATTAATACATTAAATATATTTTAAACACATTTAATTGATATGTGTTTAACATAACCTGTATTTCGTAATTGTGTTTATCAATTGTCTGTGTGTAGGTTTTAGTATATTTACTATTGATCATCTAAAATTTAAAATAATTTTTTTAATTTAGCTGTTTGATTTCTTGTAAAATAAAAAGTTCAAAAGATATCTTTTTAAATATGGTGAATACTTGAAAATTTAATATTTACTTGTTTCTTCATTTTGTTGTTTAGTTTCATAAAAGAAAAAAATATCTATATGGAGCAGTTCTAACTAATAATTCTTAATATTGGTTATTAAAATATCATGACATTTTTTAAAACAATTTTTCCATTGTTAGACTATATTAAAAACATGTTTTTTATTTTTATTATTTCTGGAATTTCAAAAAAATTTCATTTTTAGCTTTTTCTTATAAAAAGTTTTCATAGGTTGATGACAACCTAAGAATATTTTTTTTTATGTTGGTAGCATTTTAATTAATATGTAATGTTGGTATGTAGTACAGGTAGAGTATGCTTTTAAATATACGCCAGTTCAAACTTTACCCACCAGTGCTACATACTCCCTATTTATTAAAATACATGTAACTCAATAAGTACTTACCTTAAAGTTGTTATTGATCTATCAACAATTTTTGTAAGAAAAGAAAAAATATTTTTTTTTATTGTTAAAAATAAATTATTAAAATATATTTTTAATATAGTCTAAGAATACAAAAACTATTAAAAAAAAATTAAAGCAAAGTTTTATTTGTATCAAAAGTTTTAAGAATTGTCAGTTACAAATGTTCTGCCTGTACAAGGTGATTATTTATTATAAACTACTCGATTACTCTCAATAAAAATACAATTGAGATAATTATTGTTTTTTTAATCACATATTTCTTGATGTATGAATTATTTTTTAGAATCTTCCCTTATAATTTATTGTGATGTTAACTTTATTTTTTGAATGGCAATATACATATTTAACTAGCTTATAAAACAGAAAATGATTGGAGTTGAGATGTGGATATCGTTATTTTTATCACTAGTCATTTCTTGGTTTTACTTTATCTTACGGCTAAATATAAAAAAAGAAAATAATTTCCAAAGTACTGATTCAAAAGTTGTTATTAAATCATTATTTTCTTTTTTATAAACTAGTTAAATATATGTTGCCATTTAGAGAAATAATCATTCTAAAAATTAATAAATAGCTGATAAATGAAGATAAATTTGTTACTAAAAATAACTAAATATTTCTTTTCATTATTTATGTTGAGAGTAATTGAGTGGTTTATGATAAACGGATCACTAAGTACAGTAATTTTGTCTTTAGCATCATATCTTTGTGTTCACTAGAATTATTACATATACATTAATAATACAAGATATATTTATTATTTATATTTAAAACTTAAATGTTATTTTAAATTAATATATTATTTTTATACTAAACAATCGGAAATAAAAAACATCACTATTATTTAATCTGATAAAAATATTGTATATTAGAAACTAAATATTTAATTTAGTTTAATAAATAAAATTATTATATTAATACCTATGTATAGGAATATCTGCTAAATTATTTAATGGATCTTTTACAATATTGTGTATTCAATAGTACTCCTGTTTTGATATAACTAAATTTAATATATCTAGTGACATTTGTAACTTAACATATTATACCTAGTGTATCTGGGTATATATGTAAAAATTCCATGTAAACATCTACTAAATAATATATATCTTAGCTTAAAATTATCTAACTATATGTTCAGCACATTTATCTATTTATTATTAATATTTTTTATCATAAAAAAAAATTGTTTTTAATTATAAAATAAATGGTGCTATAGGAACTTATTTTGTAATATTATTTTAAAGAAGTTTTTATAATATGATTATTTTGTAACTTATATAACTTCCATTCGTAGTAGTTTTTTATATTTTCTAAATATATAACATTTTAAATGATTGTTCTATAGCATTGTTTGCTGTGCCGAAAAATTACAAATTGGTCGCGGCACCTTTATTTGAGTTGTTTGATAACTCTCAGGGATATGGATCTATTATTTCCTCATTACCACAAGCACTTGGAAGGTAATATTTATCATTTTAAATAATCAATTTTATTTTCATATAATGTTTTATTTTTTAGGTTCAATTTCATTTATATGTAATTAAGTATTAAGTTGTAAGATTATTTTATATTTGCTACCCCACTAGTGATAATAACAATTTGTCAATGATTAAATGTGTATTGTAAAGTAGAATTATATTTGATTTGATTATGTACACTTTAAAAACTGTTAATCATAATAATAGACCATTACATACCTTAATTACTACAGAGTTATTGTAATACTTATTTCTTATTTTTGTATTATTTAACTCTTGATATGGATTTTAAAGTGATTTATAAGTATTTGAGTGTATAAATTAGTAACTTTCAATTTATTTAACTTAAATTTGATTGTTTAGTTATTATTGGTTAAATATTCCTCATGAAAAAAATGTTATGATATGATAATTCTGTAGTGTTCAGGTAAAAGGCATAAATACAAAAATTACATATAATAAATACATCATAATATTTAAAAAAAATAATCTTTTTTTTTCTTTTCTTTTTTGTGGTATAAAGAGCAACAAAATGATTAATTTTGAACTGTAGTCCTTTTATACGAGCACCACAGAATTATAATGAAAAAATTTTTTGCTTGTAACAAACTCCGATAGTAATCATCTGGTCATATGAAAATATAAAACACGATAAATTCCAATGGGAATAGCATTGTATAGTATCTGGTTTCCTATCTTGTCATTTTTCTTTTGTAATTAATATATTTGCTGTCCAAATGCATTTTTTAAAATAATGTATTTAATTTTAGTATTATTTTTCCAATTTTGTACTGCTAAATGGGAGAAAATGTATTGTTTTATAAAAAAATTTAATTTTTAAAGAATTAAAATATTAAATAAATAATTGTATTAAAGCTAGAAAAAAATAAAATTTAAATGGTTTAATACTAAGGATTTTGTTAGTTTATTTATAAAAGTAACTAGATAAATTTCATAAAAGTTATAATGCTGTTTTGATTTATAGTTAAATAATTTATATTTATAAAAAATTATCATTTAGTTCTTAATGATTAATAATTATTGAGAAAACGTGTTTAGATATTTCAATAATTAATTATGTTGTCCAAAATATTTTCTGACTATTACATTCAGTTCATTTTTTGTAAGTTTCCGAGTTATAACTATTTGTTTATCATAATGAAAAAGTAGATATTTGTGCACTGGAATCAGTGGAGAAACTACTGAAAAATTCATTGGTAATTAATGTTATGATAGCATTTTTTTATCATAAAGAAAATTTACTAAACCTTTTCTGAACTATTTCATTTAAATTATCTATTTAATATAATATTAATAAACTGAATAGTTCTAAACATAATCAAAAATATAACAATTATCTGAAGCTATTTGAAGACTGGGGGAATATTTGATTTATATTTAGTATTATGAGGATAGGGTAAAATAAATTGCTATTTCTTGTAATAAAAGTTTATTTAAAATGTATAAGAAAAATGAGCATGGCAGTCAATGTTCACCAAAGTTAAATTATGTAGTATTTTTGACGAAAATATTTAGTTTTTTTAAGAAATTTATCGATTTTATTACTATTGATGATTATTAGATGTTAAAATCTTAATAGAAGCCGTACAACTTGTACAGTAAATAAATAAAATTCTTATTTTGAAAGTGTTAATTTATTTTATTTTTTTGTATTGCTAAAACATGATTTTATAGTATTTATTGCTATAAAAAATGAAATTATAATATATTTACATTTAGTATCATTTTTCTTCTAAATCATTTATTCTATAGATTAAAAATTTAATATTTAATTTAATAAAACTATTCAGTGTAAATATATTACGACAATAGTTAAAGAATTAAATAATTTTTATAATAACATAATTCGACTTATGGTAATTGATTTAAAAAATAATAAGAAAAAAAAATAACTTAGTTTTGTCATAACACAAATGTATAGACAGTTTTAAATCTTAGTTAATATTATGATTTATCTAATATTACTTGATATAATAACAAATAAAGACAACTAGAGTAATTCTGTTTAAACAATAAAGTAGTATTCTTCACAAAAAACTAAAAAATTAAGTAGAAACGAAAATATTATTAAATACCTTGTTATTAAATTTATATTTCTAAGAAAAACTTAACAAACATTTAAATGTCATATTCATATTACTATTACATACATAAATTTTGAATGTTCATTTTTCAAAAAAATATATTTTAGTATTAATGTAAAATTTTAAATTATAGAGAGCATTTTCGTAGTCATAAAATAATAAATCTATTCATTATTAACAGAGCTTGCTTGATATTTTTAATACCATTTGTTTGAGACTAAAATTTAAATTGATACAAACAATAAACATTTAGAATAGCATACTAATAATTGATTGTAACTCATTGGAAAAATACAAATAAATAAGAGGTTTTAAGGTAAACTACAAATATATTTTCAAGTCGCTTATCTTTAATTTGAAAGATGTTAAAAATTACTGGTTTCTAAAATTTTAAAATTATATTTTTAACTTTTAACAAAAGTATTGCCTTCTGAAAAGACTATACTCAAAAAAATTGCATATTAAAATCTGTAAATACACTTGAAGTTAAATACATCAATTTATATAAATTAACAAATATATATTTTTTTAATATATATTAATTTTTTTAAATTTATACAATTAATATTATATCAGACTATTTTTATAACCCAACCATGATTAACAAAGTAATTAGAAACAAAGAATGTCAAAATTACATAAAAAAAATATCCTACTAACACTAAAAAAGGTCTTTTTTAAACTAGGAACTACTATATATTTTAATACTTTTATGTAATTTCAGAAAAATATAATACTTATTTGTATATAAATTGGTAATCAATAAATACATATATACAGCATGTTCAGTTAGTAATGATACAGATTTGCTGTTACAAACAATGATAACAATTGAAACCAGTTTTCTTATTTATGAAACTTATATATTAAAAATTTATATTTAAACAAAGTAAAAAAATCATAAGATGAAAGGAATGTTTAGAATAACAAAAAAAAAAAAAATGTGTAGCAGCAGTAGATAAATATGTCATCATTTGGTATAAAAATTTTTTTCTAGATTTTCTAATATACCTACATAAAATATTTGTTAATAATCAATTTTAAGTTAAGCTAATGTGCCTTAACAATTTATGACTTAATAGTAATTTTAAAGAAAAATGAATATAAATTGTTTAAAAAATATTATATTATTAATTAGAAATCTATTTTATTTATTATTTCATAATTTTAATAACATGTATATGTATGTTATAACAGTAGATAGTCAACGATACAACACTACCATCAATGCACTAATAAATGTTAAAAATTATAGGAATGGAATATAATACATTACAGTAAGATGAATACAAAAAAATTCATAAAATGGCTAATACTATATGAAAGATTTTTAATTTAAAATACAATAAACACATCAATACTCAATCACAGCCATTTATATACTACTAATTATAATTAAAAACTAATTGACAGTGGAAACTGCCTTAAAGATACCATCTTTTTCTAAATTATGAGTTGATGATTCATCAACAACTTGGATAGTTAGTTTATTAGCAATAGGTGAGGTTGGCAACTTTTTTTGGGGGGTTTCATATGGTACATAAATTCGAAGAACATCATGTTGTGGGCTCATGCATGTAACATTTGAGATAGCATCATCATTTTGTGGAGAAACTGTTGTTGTAGCTGCTGATGTAACACTAGTATCTAGTAATGAACGTCTTGACTCATCACCAATAATAGAACTTTCATCATCCATACTGATTTTTTCAATATTAATAGAACCTAAAGATTATCAATTAAGTATGAAAAATATTATACTTTAAAAAATGTACAGTTAATATATATAAAATTAAAAAATTATAAAATAATTCGCAAATTATATAAACATAATTTTGACTTTAATCACTCACCTTAGATTTAGAAGCATTTTCAAACTATACTTTTAGGTTCAACTCATAACTAGCTAGTGTAATATGGATTACTATAAGCTTAAAATATATAAAATAAACTAACTTGTATGCTGTATTGTTACGCTTGATCTAATAAACTCTGTTGAAGAATTTAGGTTTTTATATTACATATTTTAAAAAAGAAAATTTTTAGTCGGTGCCAGCAAAAATTCTTTCTAAATGACCCATATGATATAAAATTTAAGAACTTTTAGGCATTTGTATTTAAACACATTTTATAATTTTAAATTAAAAATATCCTCATAATATTAAAAAAAAATTTGAAATTTGATTAATAAAACTAAATTATTGTAAGTTTTTTGTTAAAACAATCAATTGTAAGTATTAACATTTAACAACTTGAACAAATGTTTTATTTTTAGTATCATTTTATTAAAAAACTACTTTAGTCTTTTAGAAATGTCTCCGTATAATTTTCTAATTATTTAGAAAATAGTGCATTTTGTAGTGTGCATAATATTTATTTTCAATAATTCTCTAAAAACACACCAATTACATAATATAAACAAAATTTTTATTTTAATTTTTAGTAAGTTCAATTGAATTTATATAAAGTAATCTATTTATTTTCATGAATATTTTAATTGGCAATACGTTTCTAACACAACATTCTCATAAACAAAATCTTAACAATTTATTACTTTGAAGTAATAATTTTTTAACTAATTTAAAATATTATTTTAAAAAAAAAAGATGATTATAGTATGTTTAAACTTTTACCTTTAAATAAAACGAAAATGGAATTTTTTTTAATCTTATTATTTTGTTTAAGTATAATAGAGTGGTTATTTAAGTTGAGTGTTTCTTCAAACAAGTGATAGATTACTTTGCTTTAACATTAGAAAGAATATAGTAATATTTTTATTTACTTATCTTAAAATAATATTTGTGTTCTGATTAAATTATAAAATAACTTTAGATTTTAATACATATAAAAGAAAATATACTTTTTAGAAGATCAGGATTAATAACTAAGACACAAATTTTATAAGTTTTTTGATTCTCTTATGTGTAATTATGAAAAATCATGTTATTTTAGAATTTAAAAAAAATGTTCAAATATATTTTATTTTAAAATTAATAACAGAACACAGATGTATACAATATTTATTTTAATCAAGTATAAAATGAATAAGTTAAATAACAAATATAAGTATTTTAACAAAATCTTAAATAATTACTATTATTTAAAAAAAAAAAAAATAATAAAAAAAAAAATGGTTTTATAAAATTATAACAATAATTATATAACACTTTAAATAAATAACTATCACAAAATTTTTCGTTAAAAATAAATATTCGAAGTTCATAAATTGATAATTATATAACTGGCAGTACTTTTAGATTTAATTTATTTAAAGAGAGTTTGTATGCTTAATAAATAAGCTCTATTTATTAAGGAAGACAAGAGATGATAAATACTAATCAAATTTATGATAATGCAGCAAATGCTCACAATCTAGACCACTCACCTTGATATTTTGAATCCTGTTCAGGTGAGCTAAAAACTTGATCTGAATTTTGAGCTTGCTTGATATTTTTAATACCATTTGTTTGAGACTGAAATTTAAATTGATACAAACAATTAACATTTACAATAGCATACTAATAATTGATTATAACTCATTGGAAAAATACAATAAGAACATGTTTTAAGGTAAACTACAAATATATTTTCAAGTCACTTATCTTTAATTTGAAATATGTTAAAAATTACTGGATTCTAAAGTTTTAAAATCATATTTTTAACTTTTAACAAAAGTATTGCCTTTTGAAAAGACAATACTCAAACAAATTGCATATTAAAATCTGTAAATATAATTGAAGTCAAAAACACTTTAAACTACACTATTATAAAAAACTTCAATGCTAATGTGCTTGAAGAAAGATTGGTGAATTTTTTTTATGGAAAACAGGTGTATTTATAACTGAAACAAAGATTGTGCGGTAAACGCGACTTAATAAAAAAAATGATATACAAAATATTTTTTTTTGAAGTTGACAAATTTTATAAAAAAAAAAGTTATTTTTACTTTAGTGACAGATTTCTAATACAATACATAATATGGAAACTTTATTCATAAAGTAAATTACATAATCATGAATTAAAAGAATAAATAAAGTCATTAGTGTTTATGCAAAATTTAAATAGAAAAAAATATGTATATAACACAATGTTTTATATTTCCTTCCGATACACAACATGAGGAAAATAATACCTTTTCAGCCTAACATCAAATTCAAAAATTTTTATTTGAATAGGTTAATGATGGTATACTTAAAGGAAAAAATTTATTCAAACTAATTATTTAGATCTTAGTCATTTGAATATTAAACTATAACTTTTATATAATATTTATACATTATTAAATATCACCTAATACTATTTATTGTCTTTTAGATAGTCAAACCCAAGTCTATAGCCAAATATCTACTTAAATACTTAAATAATGACACAATTAATAAAAATATTTACTACATACTCTTTTAACGGGAATGTCATTAGGATTGAATACACCTAATTCTCGTTTTAATTGTTCATTTTGAGATGGCTGACCTGCACTATCAAGCTTGTTTTTTTTAAGCTCAACTAAACATTCTTGAAGTTTTTCTATAGTGTAATCTGCTGAAAACTGATAGTTTTGTTCCAATTTCACCTATTACCATTAATATTTTCAAATTAATTATATGGGTTATTAAAATTGTAAACAAATAAAAGCTATATTACTTGTAAGAAATGAAGAATATCATCCATTCCTAAAGCATATAATTGATTTCGATGTAATTTTAGCAAACAAAAAGCTGTAGCTGATAGTATTTTATCACCTTCCAACAAAAAAATGTCCCAAATTCTTAATGTTAATTTAAATGGTATCTAAAAAATCCAGCTTAAATTTAAAATGTCTACAAGTAAATTTCTAAATAAAATTAAATATGCTTCTTACTCTATCTAAAAAACATTGGAAGAACCATTTCAGAGTGTACAAACCAGTTTCTACACCATTTCTATCTAAATGTCTTTTTAATTTAGGCAATAATTTATTCATTATTTTGTCATGATGTTCTTGAAATCTTATTAATTTAGGAAAACCAGGAATGAAAAAACCTAAGTTTACATGATAGATATACATATTTAATAAATTATGTAAAAAATAACTTATTTATAAATTTAAACTCTTTTTACCATGCATATTATATTTTTTATCAGATATAAGATGGGACAATGCCCAGAAAGCTTCATCTTCACTAAGATACATCAGCAGTAGAGCTGCTATTTGAGACATTCCTTGAGTATAACCAATATCCAAGTTATAAATGCTATATGCTGCAAGTATATTAAACAATTCTTGTTGCTTCGAGTCATACCTTTTACGGAAATTAATATGTTCTCGATATGTTCGATTTACATCTAAATCAATTTGTCGAATATCTGGAGAGTGATCCCATGCCAATTTACATAATTGCTAAACATCCAAAGAAATATAATTTACTTTTAATTCAGATAAATTGTCATTAAATATTTTACTTACTTTATACTTATTCTTTTGATCATTTGAGAGTTGATCAACACATAATAGTTTAGCCCAGACTTTTCCACGCAATGCATTTGGAATACCTTTGTAAACTCGACGTTTAAGTTTTTCAGGGGATATACTCTCCCAATTGCTTATCATTTTTAACCATTTTTGTTCCCTTGTTCGTTCAATTTTAATATCTTGAGGATCTTCTTTTTTAAGCTTAGATTCATCACTAAAAATAAGTCATAATGTAATATTTATATAAATCGAATTAATATTTATTGACAGTACCATATAAACCCAAATCTATCAAGTTTATGGTAATCATTAATTGCAGGATCATCAGCAGGGTCTACAATTGTCCCATCACTAGGTCCTTTTTTGTACAAATCAACTATACGCTCTCTCTCCTCATACACCTTATCAGCTAGCTCTTCTTCATTCATTACAATGGAAAATTCTTTTCATGGCAGTTTTGAAGATTTTTTTCTAATATAAAAAATTATAGATGGCTATTTCTGAAATAAAATGCAATAATTATTCATTATTGCATATCAAGTTAAAAAATAAAACCTACAGAATGAAAACAGATGTCAGCATTTCTGTAATGTAGGCCATGCAATAGTGTCTATTCCAATCATTGATAAATCAATATAAAAATCTATGACAACACTGTAGATATTGGATGAAAAATTCTCCACTTTAAAGAATAAATTTAATTAAATAACCAGGACAGTGAAATTTAACTTAAGTACTTTCCTGCACACATTTCTACAGAAAGCACCGCTAACTTATTAATCTTAGCACATATCTCTGAACCGTGGTTTATACAACGCTATACCTAATACACTATATGAATCTCGGTTCAATTTTTCATTTTGTTTTTGTTGTTGTTATGAAAATATAAGCTGGTACTAAGTTCTTATCTTATGAAGTACGTAAATCATTCCGTTTCTAACTACAAGTTGTGACGTTGACAAACATACTACCGGGATAACGTTAATATTTACCTATACAGCTTATGCAACAAAAACGCCGACCAATTCTATCTGCTCTTTGCTCATTCTCCATTGTCATCACTACAAGCCCGCGAAAAAGGGGTACTAAGGTAAACGAAATTTATTTTAAGGATATAAATTGATTCAATTAATTTAACTATTATTGTATAATTAATTTAACGTTAACATCTCAATTTTTGATACACTTAACCATGCATGTTATGTTAACTCGTTAGCGTTCTTATAAACATAAAAAATTCATTGAATTTTATTATTCATCAGTATTTTGATTTATATTAACTATTATATTAATGATATCGTTAAAAAGTAATAGTTTTATCGACTTAAATAAAAATTTTTTACTTAAGAAAATTTGTTTCCATATCTTCGCTGCGTAGAAATTGTTTTTTCATAGAATGGCTCTTAATAATAAATCTTGCTTTGGAACAGCATTGTTAAACTTGCACAACGGTTATACAGACTCATTACCTGGTCGAGAAGAGCAAATTGAATGCTTGAGATCATTTTTACAAAAGCATATCGATGATCATATTTCCTCATCTATGTACATATCGGGACCACCAGGTACTGGTAAAACTGTTTCATTAAAGTCTTTATTTGAAAGTGAAGTAATTATCAAAAATTTAAATATTGTATATGTTAATTGTGGTATGATAAAATCTGCTAGTCAAGTATATGCTAAAATAGCTGAAATATTAAAATTAGGCTGTACTGTTCAAAGAAACTGTATCATAGCCATTGAAAAATATTTAAAAACCAAACATAAATCAGTTTTACTAGTTTTGGATGAAGTAGATCAATTGTCAACTAAAAATCAATCAATACTGTATCAAATATTTGAATGGCCATCTATTCATAATTCTAATTTGGTAGTTATAGGTATTGCTAATTCATTAGATCTTACAGATCGTTTGTTACCTATGCTTAAATCAAAAATTTCCTTACAACCAGAATTACTTAACTTTCCACCATATACCAAATCAGAACTAGCCAATATTATATCTCATCGATTAAATAATTCAGAAGTTATGGATGTTTTTCCTACTAATGCAATTCAACTTTTGGCAGCTAAAATTGCTTCATTTCGAGGAGATGTAAGGTATGCATTAGATGTCACACGGCGAGTTATTGAACTAGCTGAGGAAAAAATTGAAAAAAAGATTGGTTTAACTGATGTTATGGCAGTATTAAATAATGTTTATTCTACATCAAGTGCTCTTGATACTAATGATGAAAATACTGAAAAACTTCCACTACAGCAAGAAATAGTAATATGTGCACTTCTTTTATTATTAGCGCCTTGTAAGAAAAATCAAGTTATTACTATAGGAAAATTATATGATATTTACAAAAAAATCTGCATAAAAAGAAATATTCAAGAAAGAGATTTAAGTGATTTCATAACTATGTGTTCTTTGTTGGAAACCAGGGGTATAATAAAAATTCAAGGACAGTGTGCTAATAGACTCTCAAAAGTAATAATGCTTTGGGATAAAAATGAAGTTAATGATATTCTTCACGATAAACAAATTTTAGTTGATATTTTGAATGATAAAACATTAATATGATAAATAGTAAAATTTAACTAAAATTCAAACTATGAGATTTACAATTGATCATTTATGTAAAAACTGTATATTTTAGCTGACTATCAAATTTTTTATTGATTTTGTGTATAAGTTTTTTTATTTATATAACTTATTAATTTATTTGTACATTTTTTTTAATCAAATAAATACAATGATATGCTAGTTATTCAATTTTTGTTTATAATATTAATAATTTTTGAAAGGTAAAGTTATTAGACGTTTCCTATTTTTAAATTCATAAGAAAAACAACATAAATATCTTATAATGTTGAATAATTTAGAAATGTTTATTATTTCTCAGATTTAAATAGTATTGTTAGCTCTTATACACTTACAAAGTTTATTGATAGCGTTTTAACTAGATCAGTGGTCGGCAACCTTTTTTAATTCTCGGGCCACATTTACAAATTAAAAAGAGTTCGCGGGCCAGATAAAAAAAAAAAATTTATAATTACATTATTTATTATGCAAAAAAATACTATCTAAAACTTAAAATAATAATATGACTTATATAAAATACCCGTACCAAAAACGCAACGTTCAATTATATTTATACAAAATGATATTCAATTAAATTAGTCGATTTAGAATTTAAAGCGGGCCGTATTCAATAGCCCCGCGGGCCGCCGGTTGCCGATCACTGAACTAGATAATCAATCAGTTTTTAAATACTATGCATGTTATATTCCTATCCTTAAAGCTTTGCCAATTCAACATAACTGATAAATTAAATTGATTATCTCATGTATATAATGCTGTAACAAAAGAATATTCTCAATAACGGGAATGTTCTTGAAAATATTCTTCTGTAAATTACTACAGAAAAATGTATGTATAAAAAAGTAGAAGAATTAAATAATTTCTTAAAAAAAATTTAATCAAACTTGAAAATTATGTTAAGTAATGTATGATGTAAAAATAATCATTTACTTTGTTAATAGTTACTTGATAACAAAATCTTTAAGAAATATTTGAGGCAAAAAAAATGTCTATAGCTTAAAGTTTTTGTATATTTATAACTTCCCAGAGTTTTTTTTATTTCTTAATGCTTCATTTGTTGTTCAAAGACTAAATATAATAAATCAAACAATTTTAGTTAAAAATGTTCAATGTAATTACTGTTAATTAGGCTTAATTTGTCCATCAAGTATAAATTTGTTTACTTCCAAATATAATTCCAAAGCATTTGTAAACTTTAAAACACAAAATTGGATAATAGGTTAACTTTTATTTAAAGTACTATATCTCTAAGTTCTATTGATCAAATTATTCATTACTAAGTAGATAAATTTAAAAGTCGCCTATTTTTTACTTGTTAGCAAATTTAATACCATTGTAAAATATAAAAAAAAAGAAATCAAGAAAATTCTCAAAAAACGTTACAGTAATTTTACATCACTACAAGCATCTAATCTGATGTTCTGTGTTAATTAATTGATATGATGGCAGTAATTAGTGAGCATTTTTACTGGTATAACTTGTCACTGAAAATAAATTATTATAATTTCATGGTTATATGTTTAAATATAATCAAAAATAATAACTTTGTAGAAAATAAATTTATTATTATAGATAATATATTTGTCACTGTAGTTCGATTTTTTTATTATTTATTTAGTGCTGCATTCTTTAATATTGTTGTTTTTTAACTACATAAAATAAATTTTTAAAAAGTAGTCTATTGACATTATCAATTGAATAATATTATAGTGTTACTATATAAATTCTTCTTTTTCCTCACCTTTCTTTCTCCCCTTTTAAGTAGTTTCAAATTAAGTTTTTTAAATGGAAACACATATGTTTTGTTAACTTAATAATAAGAGAATGATTAGTCAATAACAACTTTTGAACTATTATTAAAAGATATTTTGCACTTTTATACTATACTTTATGATGTATCATAACACCAATATAACTTACACTTGAAAATCTGTCCAGATATCTAATATTAATGTAAAACTATTGTTTTTCTCCAACTTATGAGAAAACACTCTAGACAATTAATCATATTTTATATCCATTTTATTGTTCTTATAGCTACCAATTCCTTTTTCCTCATGACATGATCAAGCCATCTAAGTTTATTTTATCCATGATTGACGCTACACCTATACTGCCTCTTATATGTTCGTTTTTTATTCTATCTTCTCTAGCCACTCCACTTATCCATCCATCTTATCACTGCTACACTTATTCTCTGCTTTACTTTCTTGTCACCCGCAAAACACTGAACCATACATCATAGCTGGTCTCACTATAGTTTTATTCAACATACCATTCAGCCTCATTGGAATTCTGTTATCGCAAAATATACCATACGCTTCTCTCCACTTCATCCACCCGCTTATATTTAGTGTTTTACATCCTTGTCAATATCACATTTGATCTTAAATACTTAAAACTTTTCATCTCTCCAATCACGTCCTTTCTTAATGCTACTGATCTCATTTCACCCACTTCGTATTCTCCTTTGTCAAACTCGTACTTTATATACTCCTACTTATTCTTTAACCATTTTCTTCAGTTGAACTCCACACCTCTAGCCTTTGATTAATATCTTCCCTATTTTCTCCTGTTAACACTATATTGTTAGCGAACAACATGCACCATGGCACCTCTCCTTGTATTTCTCTAGTAATTTCATCCATCACTATGGAAAATAAGTAAGAGCTTAAAGCAAAACCTTGGTACACTGCTACTTTTACCCTAAAACCTTCTGTAACTCCTCCTACGCTTTTTACCCTGTTACAAGTGCCATTATGCATATCTTCTATTATATTAATGGACCTTTTTGGGACTCTTTTATTTTTTTTACTCTTTATTATCCATTTTAATACCTCTCTCAGTACACCATCATAAAAAGATCCTTTAATCATCATTCTACTGTTTTATTCTTTTTCATTGATACCATAGCCTCTCATACCTCTTTCTCACTAATTAAATCTACCAGTCCCTCTTTCCACGAGATAACATCTAATGTTTCTTTTGGATACTCCTCATTCAATAATTTTTAAAATACTCATCATCTTTCTTTCACACCCAAATCACTCAATAGCACCCTCTTATCATCATTTCTTTTTCACCTTCTTTTGTTTCTAGCCTATCATACAACTCATCATATCTCTTAAACTACCCTTTACTTACTACACACTTGACTTCTTTACACAAGCGTGTCTACTCCATCCAATCTCCTCTTCATTTGCTCTTCTACCATACATTAAACTGCTTTTTCTTATTCTCTGTTATTTTGAAAGTCCTCATCCCACCACCAGGTTTCCTTGTTTCCTGGCATTTTAGTCCTACTTTCACAATAATCTTTGCAGTATTCTTTACACAACTAGTACCACATATCATTTATCCCTAGACTCCCTAAACATTCTACACCGCCCTCTCTTTTAATAGCTTTTTCTTTTTCCCTTTTCAATTTCCACCACCTGATCTTCAATTCTCCTCCTGTGTTTTTTCTGTTTTCTATACTCTCTTCCCACTATACCACAAGTCTATTACTATCAGTCTATGTTGTGTAGTTACACTCTTGCTTGGTATAACTTAATAATCTCTCACACTTCCACATAAAATAAATAATATGTTATCTATTACTTCATTTCTTATACGTTGTACAATGTTCTTCCCTCTTTCTAAAATAAGTATTAACCACAGCAAAATATATGATACTGTGAAATCCAAGATTCTTTCTCCAGCTCCATTCTTTTTATTAAAACCATACCCTCTATGTACTCATTTATATCTTCTCTCATTACTGACATGTTCATTCATATCTCCACCTATCATTGTATCCTCATTATCAAGTATTCACCTTATCCATCTCTCTCCAAAACACTTCCTTGTTTATTTCATCACATTCTACTTGTGATGCATAGGTACTTACTACTTTCAATACTTTTTCTCGAAAATTAATTTTACGAATATAATTATGTCACTTTTCCCAACTATTACTACAGCCTAAGTAGTCACCTCTTATGGCTGTCTGAGGGCTGTATAAGTACTTTTATCCTCTTCCACAGAGAAGTGCTATTATTTTATTTATATTTATATTTTTTTTTTTTTTTTTACAGACCTAACTTATGGGGGAGTCAACACTATGTTATGAGTTATGAGACTTTCTGAAAATATTACTTTTAAGTAACTTCAGGATAACCCATAATGTTGGTTAGAGAGTTTTGGAGAAAACACTTATAACATTAACTTACACAATGGAATAAACTCTGGTGTTTTCTAGACAATGAGACATAATTAATTTTCCAACTGAGCTATGTTGACTGCATAAAAATTAGGATTATAAAAAATTATTTTTCTTGTTACTTCTTAAATTTAGGGATATTAATTGTTTAGTTAAGTAATTAAGTCCTACCAAGTTCTCTCACTTGGACTTGTATCCATTTAATCACTTGGGAAATATCAACTCAGTTTTTAAATTGCCTAAAAGATATTTCTAACATTTTATTAAGTTTAGTGTAAAAATTTTATTTTACATTTTATATATGTCCAAATTTTTAGTTGATTATAACTAATTTTTATCATATAATCAAGATAGTAGTAACTTATAATTATAATTAATTTATTAATTATTTGTGTGTTTTTAGAAATATGACATCATCAGTGTTGTATAAACGTTATGTATCACCAGTAAGTCCGACCATATATCCTCATCTCACATTGCTGTTAATGAGTATTGGGGTTTTCTTCACAGCATGGTTTTTTGTGTATGAAGTCACTGGAACAAAGTATACAAGAAGCTTGAAAAAAGAACTAACTATTTCTTTTGTAGCATCATTATTTACTGGTTTTGGCCTACTGTTCCTGTTGTTGTGGGTTGGAATATATGTATAACTATAAATAAATTTTTAAATAATCATTATATTTGAATTATTAAATGCCTAATGTATATGTATATGTATTATTATAAAAGAATTAATTAATTCTATCTTTGATAATGTAAAATAATACATATTCTCACTACTTAGATGAATTACTAAATACTTAAATTTAATTATTATGAGTATTTTTATAAATAAATTGTTGTTGAATAAAAAAAAGATGTGCACATAAAGTCTTTAAAAATAAGATTATTTTTTCAATATAATAAAATTCAAAAATATAATAAATCTTCAGTTATAGTTTATACCTATTAGATTATTATTCTTATTTTAAGTTTAATATAGAAGATACCATATCAATTTCAATATTATTATTAATTTTAATTTTAATTCTACAGTATCAGAATACTATACTCACATTTTTTAAACTAATAAAATAGAAGTTAATTTGATTTACACATGTGTTGTACGTCAATTCATATTTACAATAATAAATTGTTGCGCAAGTTACTTTTAAAAATTAACTATGTTAATAATTAAAAATTATTTAGGTTTGGGTCACTTATTTTTAAAATTAGAAAGAATTTTTACAAAAATATCGTGGTTATTATAAACGTTATTATACTAAACGAAAATGTTAGTTTTTTGCATTTTTTTACTATTAACCGAGTAGATGATGTGGGAGATCGTGTCAAGTGGAAGTTTAGGATAAGGGTGGCCGACTCCAAGTAGTTGGGATTAAGTCGAGGAAGAAGAAGAACCGCAATCATATCAGTTTTTAGTTATGATAAAAATTACATTTTTAAATCCTTATAAAATTTCCTATCAACTTTAAAAAAAATTATAATATTAGGTTTAATCAAAAAGAAGTTATAGTTCAACTGTTGCAATATGCCTACATTCTAGTCAATTTAAGTGAGCACAAAATAGTTATCAGTTAACAGTGGACAATAGTTTAAGATATACATAAACTTATTTATCTTTTCTTTTAAAGTAATTAGATTTAAACATAACTAACTCAAGATAAAAATATATAGTCGATTCAGTGAAAAATGGTTGAGATATTTTTTCATTTGTATAAAAATTACCAATTGTAAGTTGTACGTATAGAGTTAAATATTAATTAAATAATAATCATAGTTAATAATCAAACAAGTATTAATTTTTTCTCGTTAAATAGAAATCAAATAAAATAATGTTATATATATAACATTATGTATATATAAACTGGCACTACATTTTCACAAACACATAATACATTACATTATTATACATATAATAAATTAAAACATTTATCCTTTTGTGTAAATACATTTTATAACATAACCTTTTAACGAACTGATTCGTGACAATATCAATTTTCATTTTATAAATTACTAATGTGTTTGTATTTATTTTAAAAACGATATGAGAATTTAATAGGGCGTAAACAAGTGACCTAATATACTAAAATTTCTTAATTAATTATATGTAATGAATTGTTAAATATTGTTAATACATGGAAAATTTGTATGACTTCTATTCAATTCATAATAAACGCTTTTTATACGATAAATAAAATGAGAAATTATAACATACGTGATTTTATTTTGGAATTTTTTTATTTGTACAATAATATGCGAACAACAGTATTCAACTTTTTTTTAAAAAGTTTATTTTGAATTTATAGAATAATAAATTTATATTTGCATGATACGCGTTAAGCTAACGACATGAAAACAATGGTAAAATAATAATCTTTTCGCAGTGATGATTTAATGTGAGCTCAGGAGGTCGGCTTTAAATTTGAGATTTTTTTCTCGTTGGACTACTAAGGATTCCTTAGTGGATACTAAGCAATTAGTACTATGGGCGTAGCGAACCCGGGGTCCCGAGATTCTACTGGTAGAAAGTCCCAGGTGGACGATTCCAGTAGGTAATGGCGTAGGGAAAGTGGCGCTCCCATCGCCTGGTGTGGAAAACATCGCAATAGCCCCTCGCTGGTTCCAGTAATGTAACCAATAAGGAGAGAGGAGAAATCCTTCAAAACTTGGGCCCTGCATTAATGGGGGTTTACGTAGGGCTAACCGCCCAACTCATAAAAACAACTTGGTTCCGAAACAAAACATAGCAAAGTCTCAGATGAAAAATAAATTGCAAAAGTTTAGTTTATGGACATGGAATGTACGTACGATGTATGCAGCAGGAGTAATGACGACAGTACTATCCTCACTGAAGAGATATCTATGCGATATAGTAGCCATACAAGAGATCAGATGGACGAATGTAGGGAACATTAAACTTCGTGACGCAACTATATTCTATAGTTGTGGTCAAAGCCATGAATATGGCGTTGGGTTTATAATAAACAACAACATATTACCATTTGTAAGAAACTTCATAGCACATAGCGAAAGAATTTGTCTCCTACAGTTGGAGTGTATATGGGGAAACATTGCAGTAATAAACTGTCATGCTCCAACTGCGAATAAAGAGCACCAAACTAAATAAGAATTTTACAACCAACTAGAAAGAGTTTATGACAGTATAGCTAAAAGAACCAGATAGATTATAATAGAAGACTATTACCAGGGAAGGAAGAAATTAAAGAAGCAATAGAAATGTTAAAGAATAACAAAGTTCCAGGTCAGGACACGATAGAAGCTGAACTTATAAAAAAGGGAGGGGAACTAATTTTTAATGATATGTGGGAACTAATTAAGAAATTATGGCAACAAGAACAGATACCAGAAGAATGGAAGGTAGCAGTAATATGCACCATATAAAAAAAAGGTGACCCAGAAGACTGTCATAATTACAGGGATATATCGCAATGCAGCTTATAAAATATTATCAAATGTTATCTTAAATAGACTAAAACCATATACGAAAGAAATAGTAGGTGAATACCAATGCGGCTTTAAACCAGGAAAATCTACAGTTGACCACGTGTTTACACTAAGACAGTTAATAGAAAAACATTACGAGTACAATAAGCCATTACACCTACTGTTTATAGATTTTAAGCAGGCATACGATTCTATCAAGAGAATATCACTGTGGAAAAGCATGGAAAAGTTCGGTATACCAACAGAAATAGTCAAAATGGTGATAGCATGCATTGAGGAATCAAGATTTAAAATCAAATTCGGAAACTATTACTTAGAATAATTCGAGACAACAGTAGGTTTAAAACAAGAGGATACCCTATCACCGACAAAACTTTACTTACAGAAAACTTTCAAGTCCAAGGTATTATCAAAAAAATCAAAAATGAGATTACACAAGGTTTTAGGTAGACCAGTAATTCTATGCGCATGTGAAACGTGGCCAACGTCAAAAGGGGACGAAAGAAAACTAGAAGTTCTAGAAAGAAAATTTCTACAACGCATTTTTGGTCCCAAAAAAAATGATCAAACAGGTAAATATGAAATTAGATCCAATAAGAAAATTAAAGACCTGTTGGGAGAGGAGGACATTATACAAACACTTAAAGGAAGAAAAATGAGCTGGCTTGGACACGTATGGAGATCGAATGACATAATAAAGGATGCGCTTAACTGGAAACCAGAAGACAAGAGAACATTGGGAAGACCGAAGAAAAGGTGGATAGACGAGCCCAACCAGATTTTTAGGATACTTGGGGTTGAAAACCCGGAAGAAGTAGCAAATGATCGAGAGGAATGAAGGAGGCTGTGTGGAGCAGTGATAGGCCTTAATGGCCTATAAAAGCTGAAGAAGAAGACCACTAAAGAAATCTTCTCAGTAACTATTAAGGAAAATTGCCTCCGAGATATCCAAAGTTCCAGATTGATACTGTCCAGCAATCGAAATCGATTAAATCTCGCCAAAGTTGAAGTCATTTAAACGATGATCATAGAGGAACAAAAGCAACACGCTGTCAAAAAAAAAAATTTTACATTTCGATTATTTTCTTATTAAATCTCACTATATATAGTAAATATTTAAATAAAAATATGTATCTAACAAAAAAATAAAATTTGACCATCTATAATGTCAAAGTTTTTACCATGTTTTATTAGCTTCGATGCCAAGCGGAGAAGGTATTAATTTTACTATGATGTGTTTTTTTTATTTATTTTTTTTTTGTGTCTGTTACCTTTCAATCTCAGCTCTCACTGGACCGATTTTAATGAAAAATACGTCAAAAGATCACAAATTATATCTAGTCGAAGATATTACCCTCAAAAATTGAAAAGAATTACCTCGTTCCCCGTAAATGGGGGAAATCCCGAAAAAAAATTACAATTTTAAAAATCGGTAGTTTTTGACATTTTTTCAATTTTTTTTCTTACAACTCCCATAATTTTTTTAAAAATGAACAAATCAATATCATTTTTTTTTATAGATACCTTAGGTATTTCACTATCATTTGATATATTTTTGTGAAAATTTGACCCTTTACCTGCCCATAGGGAGGGTTTCAATATGGCAACTTTTGCATAAAAAAGTAATTTTATCAACTTAACTTTTGAAAATGTTCCGGAAAGACTGATACTTTTATATATATCTTAAATTAAAACTTATATAATATACTCTAATTTAAAAAAAAAAATTTGACCTCTGGATTTGTTTTCATGGTGAAAATGACTACCGTATTCAATAATATGCTATTTTTGTGTTAAAATTTTTTGTATTTTATTTTATTATACCTGACAAAGGGAGTACACTGACTTCCATAAATATTATATAAATCAAATATATATATATGATATAGCATAGAAAGTTATACTTATTTAAATTTTTTTGCTTATTTAAGTTGAGAAAAATATCTTTGAAATTTGAACTAGCAGCTTAAATTGTCTTTTTTATCATCCAACGTACAGTTGCGGAGTCGGTAATACTTGCTTCCCATCACTTGTGGAGTACAAGGTTCCAACCCACTTATGGCAATGCATTTTTTTCTTAATTCTTTTTAAGTTGGAAAAAATTTTCTACTCATTTGATTTTTATCTCTTTTAGATTCAATAGCTTCAATAAAGATCAAGGATCCCATTACTGTAATCGCCCCTCGTGAGAAGAAATTTCTTATTCATTTTAAAATTATTTTATTATATAGTATTAGCTTCGATGCGAAGCTGAGAAGGTATTTTTTTGTGACTATCATTTGTTTTCTTTACTCTCACATGACCTACTTCTTTTTTAACAATACGTCAAATGATTATAAATGGTAATATCTTCAACTATAGTTGAAGATATTACCCTCAAAAATTAAAAAAAAATTCTACTATATTAATTAAAAAGTTACTTCGCCCACATTCTCCATATAGATAATTAAAATTATTCATTTCTAATGTTTTCAAAGTATTTATTGATGAATTAAGTATATATTAGGTGTCAACTATAAAATTAAATAATTTTACTTTGTTTTTTATTAATTTCTTGACTATGGTCATTGGTTCATTGTAAATCGATGATACTTGAGGAATTGGTTTTTTAACATAAGTACAATGTTTTTTTTAACCTTCCATATAATTTTTGTAATTTTTGCTGATTGTATTTTGGATCTTTAGTAGGATTCATTATAGTAAGTTCGATAAATTATTATATAATCACGAGAAAAATATTAGAAATTAAGAATAAAGGATGAAAAAAAGATTTAGAGAAAAGAAAAATATATTATCTGTGAATCAGTCACTTAATGTTAGACCTGCAGTAATTATTTCAAGAATGTAAATGAAAAAATAAAATATCATCATTCCACTGATAAATTTATGTTTTTATTGAGAATAAGAATTTTACAGCTTATTATTATTCATTATTATGTACATATTTCCTCCATTTCTTTTATGTAGGTTTATTGAAAACGTTTTATAACTATTTTCACAAATTCAAAGAGATTTTTTTTTATCAATGTAAAATGAATGCTGACCCTGTTGAGATAATTGAATTTTATTCATTATTTTCTCTTATATATGAACAGGTGAAACTTTAATTAATTTTTAAATGGATAAAAATAAAATATATATGGTTAAGAAACTAAAGTTATGCATATTGGTGGTTGTTTAATAGATGAAAATAAAGTGATTTAATTTAAAAAATAAAATGTGAGTCAGGTTCAAGTATAATATGTACTAATATAATAATTGTAGAGATTTGACATATAAATATATCTTTATAAGATTTAAAACAACTACAGAATTAATCTAAATGAATAAATATATTTAATTTTATATAAAAGTTTCATGGTTTTTAATCAGGCTACTAATCCAGCCTTATGTCTGCATCGTTGCATTAATGCTCGCAACATAAATTGTTTACGTGAAAGTGTTCGTACTTGTTTCAAAAATACTTCTAAATCTATCACTCCTCTTCTTAATGCTTCTCCCATATAATAAATGGCATCTTCTGTAGCTGCTTCTTCAGCAAATGCATTTAAAATTCTAAATAAAATTTAATCCAATTAGCAATTATAAACGAAAATTCAAGGATAATTTAGAATGGTGATTTTTTTTTATCATAATTCACTCAATTAGACACAAAAAACAATTAAATTTTTTTTCTTCTGATTTTTCATTACACATTATTCTTGAATTATTAGCTATGCAATACTTTTTAAGTTAATTCCTTATGCTTTTGTAAGGGTGTCAATATTATTTTTTCAAATGGACACACGTATTTTGAATTTAATAAAATTGTTGAAATTTTAGTAAATGCCATTTGAATTTTTAACATAACTTTATTTGTTTATTAGATAGTATTAGTAAGTAAGGAAACAGTTATATTGTTATAAACAATGAGATCAATAGAAACCCGTTTCTTACTTACTGAACACTTATATAATAAGATAATATATGAGGGATTACAATTACAGATAGCTAATTGTTTTTTTATATCATTATTGCATATACTGAGTGTTTACTATCAATTATGATTATCAACAGATATGTATTCGGTATTGCTAGTTGGTGTATTTAAAAATGTTAACTCACAAAAATGTGCCTTATGACCACACTTTAAGAATATATTTTGGGTATCAAAACTTTAAAGTTTTATATCTAATAAGCAAATAAAGTTATGCTAAAAATTCAAATGTCATTTACTGTTTAAATAAAACTTCAACAATTTTATTAAATTCAAAATACGTGTGTCCATTTGAAAAACTTAAGTTGACACCCTTACAAAGCATAAGGAATTAATTTAAAAAGTATTGCATGGCTAATAATTCAAGAATAACATGTAAATTAAAGGTCAGAAAAAAAACATTTTAATTATTTTTTGTGAGTAATCGAGTAGGTTATAATAAAAAAATCACACTGTCTAATTAGATATTTATATTTAATTTATTCATACACGGTTGTTCAGTAAGGAAACAGTTAAATTGGTACCAACAATGGGAACTATAACAACCCGCTTGCTTACTTATTGAATATTCTATTTACTTGGCAATAATACTATTGTACTTCAAATAACACATTAAAAAATTCAATTATTGAAAAATTTAAACAAATAATTATTTATTTTAGTAAATACATAAAGAATTTAAAAAATATCTTTAACTATCAAGTAAAATTAAAACTATATTAAAAATATTATTAATTTAAAAAACTAAAAAATATTAAAAATATTAAACTCAAAGCCACAAAAAAATTAATGAAAAGTCGTGGATACGTATTTCGGAAACAATGTTACCATTATCAACGCTAAACACATACTATTATGTATTATGTATTAGCGTTGATAATGGTAACATTGTTTCCGAAATACGTATCCGCGACTTTTCATTAATTTTTTTGTGGCTTTGAGTTTAATATTTTTAATATTTTTTAGTTTTTTAAATTAATAATATTTTTAATTTTACTTAATTAATTAGCCACAAGTGATCAATTTTTATTATATTATTTAACTATCAATTTAACCAACAATTTGAGTTGAGCATTAGATTTCCTCACTATCAAAATATATAGAACCTTAATTCATGTATACAAAAAAGTATAATTACTGTTTATAAAGTGGAGCAGTAGTTGTAACTGCATCATCAATATCAATATTGTCTTCTACAGATAATTTTGATATAGCTATTTCAAGTTCAATCTCTTTATCACGCAACACTTGAATGTTTTGTTCTAGTTCTATCTAAATTAAAAAAAAGAAGTTAGTGTTTAAAATATTATGTCATATTAATATTACCTTTTCTTTATTAAGGCTTGTTAAAATTGAATCCAATTTATTTTTTCCCAAGGTTAATTCTCGTTGAGACTGTAAAAGTATATCTAATTCTGCTTTATTCTGAGCCATTTGTTCATTAAAACGTCTTCGTACTTTATCTTCAATGGCAGAGAGCAACGATGCTTTAATATGTTCCTCAGTAATTGTGCCACCATCACTTAACTTGTTTCATAAAATTTAAGCAATTAGGTTATCTTTTAAAGTTAATATTTATTAAATATTACGTTAAAGAAATTTCCAAAAGTCTTAAGAATAGTTAAAAAATACTTTAAAAACTAAACAATTTATTGGAATGAAAATTGTTTTATAATATCTGCCTTTACACAATTTCATTTAATATTAAAATTGAAATAGGAACTATTTTTATTCAATAATTTGTTTTATAGTGCATGTTAATTTAATAATATAAAAAATGTATAGAATCTCAATTACTTAACATTGTTGTTACATTCCTACATTCTACGACTTGTTAATTCTATTTTAAAATTTTTTAATATACTATGAAAAAATTTAACATTAAAATACTTACCCCTGTTGCAGTATTAGGTAAATTACCAGATGTTGGATATGGAGGATATTCAGGTTTAACTGATGTATTTTGTTGAGGATATGGAATATTATGTGACGAATTTTGAATGGGATATGGAGGTGTATAAGGTGCAAAACTAGCTGTATTAGCTGAACTTGTTGGATATGAAGGAGTAGGAAACTGACTGTTATATAAAGGATAAGGAGTTGTAGTATTACTATGGTAAGTCGTTGGAATATTAGATGTGGCAGAAGTAGGTTGTGATGAAATTGGTGGATATGGTAGCATCACATTTGAATTATTTCCACTATACGCTAATGTAAAATATAATAAAATTACAAAACATAATTAGTATATGATAATATAAAAAAAACATAATATTTAAATAGATTGTAAATATTAAACTCTAAGCTTTTAAAAGTGGAAGAACGGAAAAAATAATGGCCTATGGAACATTCTACGTACAACCATAAACATTTTTTCTTCCCGTTATATTCTAAAATTTGTTCTTATATTATATATCATATTTGTTATACATCAAAAATTTTGAAAAACTTGAAGTTATGATAAATATGCATTATAAATTTTGAATGCTGTTCTCCTATAGGAAAACTGAAAATTATATAGGCAACAGTATTTTATCAGAAAAAAAATATTTCAGTCAAAAAATAATTTAACAAAACTATAATATAGCTAAATAGTATTTTTGGGCGAACAAAACTAATCTGAAAAGTATTTTAGCTGATCTACATTTTTAGAGATAAAATTTACTATTATTTGAAATAAAATGATTAAATTGAAATTTGTTGACTTATAATGTGTATACTATAATTAGTTTACTAGAATTTTAGCAGTTATCTTTGAGTATTAAATTATTTTATTATAACTCTTTACAAATTAGTGAAAATTAATAACTATTAGTAATCCATAATTATTATAAAAACGGTAGCACAGTGGGATCGTGGCACAGTATGGACGTGGTATAGTTGGGACAAGTATAGATAATATCTGATAATGATTAAAATCACAATTATAAAAAATGTATCAATGCAAATTTGTAGATAGTGTTTAATTTTAAGAAATTGGTGGATTATTCCAAAAACAAAATAAACACATATTTCTTTAATTATATCCTGATTAGTTGTTCTTTGTTTAAAAGTATAATATATGAATAAATAATAATTATAGTAATTAAATGTAATATGAAATTGATATTCAATAATTTAATATTGTAATATTTATGAAGATATAAAAATAATAAAGTAGTATATATCTTTACTTTTAACGTGAATAATAATTTAAAGGGCATGATGCAATATTTTTCAATAAAAAATGTTTGTTACTTATGAATATACTGAACTACAAGGAACTTTCATCAGAATCAAAAATATATTTTTCTAAATCAACTTTTTGCGCTGTTTTCAAATCTGAAATTAGACTTTTTTTTATCAATTCTTAGTTTAGATATTATTACTAATTTTTTAAAAATGTGTGTATACATATAAAGAACAAATGAAAAAAAAAAAAATTTATAGTCCTTTTAAATGGTAATAATATTAATTTAATTATAGCAGGTTTATAAACATTTTTTAACAAAACAGGAATGAAAAAGGGAAAGAGATCTATTTTAGAGGAACTAGATCTGAAATGAATTGACTATAGTACTGTAAGATTAAAATACTGTTAGACAAAAATATAGTTTGATAGTAATACTTTCAGCTATTCTATGAACTATTGTTTTTCAAAATGAAACATATTTCATTTAAGATATATTTAATGATATCAGAATTATAGGAACATTTTGAAAAATTAACTTTTAATGCAAAATTAATAATTTTGAATGCTCCGCATGAGTTGTTAAAGGGTCCGATTTTCAAAAAAAAATATGTCTAGTAAAAGAGATAATCAAATGTATTTATAATAAAATTTTGTTTTGATTCATTCATTTTTTAAAAATTTTCTCATCACATTTAACAAATGTGATATCTGGATTAATAATTTTAAAAATATATATAGAATCAATTCAATAAAATTATTTTTTTTAAATAACAAAACTTTAATTTATGAAATTCAATATCAAATACACAAATAAAAAAATAGTAGTATTAAAAAATATTTTACTTACGCATTTGGGTAGGATAAGGCACAGGGTTTACAGCTGGATCAGTTCGAGTTACTGAGTATACAGGTGGTGTTTCAGAGAATGTTACTGTCATAATTCCAATCAATTCCAGCAGATTGGAAGTAGTCTAATTATCAAAGTATAACATTAAAATTTACTACTAAAAATATCTTAATCATTTTATTAATACATTACCGGTGTCCAATTATGCAAATATGGCAAATAAATTTTTCCATTATGATCTACATACATTGACATTTTAATACGCATATCAACAGTAGGTTTAACATAACAAATAGGTGCATTATTCGGGTGTGTATCCATGAGCCAAATACAAATTGGAATATGGTATGTAGTGCCTGAAATAGTACAAACATAATATTTATGATAGATGAACTTTGATAATTTGATAAAAATTTTACCTTTAAAAATAACTGGTATTGTTCCACTTAAATTTATTAACTTTTTTTCAATTCTGTTTGAGAACACTAAAAGTAAATAATAAAAATTATGATAAAATAGTATATTTAACTTTTCAATTGTTCTTATTTAAATTTATTTTTAATTCGGTATTTTTATTTTTTAATTTTGGTTAGCTCTAATAAATAAATAAAAATGATAGTTTTCAAAAAAAAAGTTAGTATAAATACTAATACTATGGGCTAGTATAATTATTAACTATGAAGATAAGGATTACTTGGTACAAATTTTGTTTTAAACTCAAAAATTGTTAAAAATCAGGTCAAATTATATTCTTGTTTACTTAAAAAAGCTCTTTTGCTATATGTTACAAAGAAATAAAAGAGTACAAATTTTAAGGAATATTTCAAAGAGAAAAGTAATAAAATATAACTTTATATTACTGTGCAAGATTGTTCAAAGTATTATAAATTTAGTTAATAACTGATAAGCTTAAAAAAAACTATTTCAATAGAATATAAGAAATACTTACAAAAAGTTTCATAGTTACAAATAAGACCATGATAACTATTTAAGGCTTTTATAATTTCTTTTTTTGTTTGTTCAGGAAACTTATACTGGAAAAAATTATAACCACAATAATATCAATAATATACATGATACACATAACATACATACATATTTGTTATTTTAATAAATTTTACATAGACAAAAATAATAAAACATTTAAAAATATTTTTACAACGCATTTCTGAAAGAAGTTTTTTTTTTATTTATATACAAAATGATTTTTTTAATATTAGCCACTTGAATTCTCTTAAAATAATAATTATGTTAAGAAAATTGTTTTTGGTACTCTTTTTTACGTTTTTTTAGTTTCATATATTTCTTGATTTATTAAATGTTAAATATTTTTTTAGTTCATCCCTTATGCTTTATAAAAGTGTCGACTTTTTTTTTTAATAGCCAAATTCATATTTAATTAACTTTTAGAATAAAAAAATTAGGAAAATAACTGGTGAAAAAAAAATTTTTGACTCATTATTTTGAAAATTATTTAAAAAATTAATAATAAAATTAAAAAAAAAGTTAAATATAATTGAAGATTTTAGCAGTTATTTTCATACAGCAAAGCAATTATTTTTACAATTACAAAGGAGAACTTTAGCCTCTTGGCAATAATATTATTGCACACTAATTTTTAATTATATTTTACTAAATACTCTATATCATAATTGAAATTGAGAAAAATTTAACTTACCATAGTCAAATATGACTTTAAGCGACTTTCTTCAATACGAATCATTTTTAGATGGTTAAACCTATATAACAATATAATTTTCTTAAGTGTTTGTAACTTTTTAGTCTTGAAATAATGTAACAGGAACTAGCATTTTGCAATATGCATTATAATTTGGGTATAATTAATTATTAGAGTAAATTTTGATTATACCAAGCGATAATTGTTCAGAAAATATAGTTTGAAATTAAGGATAATTTCTATCTTAAGACAGAAGGCTAACTATACTTAATGATGTTGGCTTTATCTACCAACGCCTATTTTTCTGAGGATCTGTAAATAAATCTCAATTAATTCAAACAGATAAAATAAGAAATCTCATGAATTATAAATCAATTTTAATACAACCAATTGGGCACATAAAAATCGATATACCTAGAATGAGCAAAAAGTTTGTTAAAAAATAGAGCCTTTTCAGTCTTTCTAAAATCATGTCCTAAATTAAAAAATTAACTCACTATGTGCTTAAACACAGCTAAAATTTTAAATTATTGTTGATAATAGAAATTAGTTTTAAGTTATAAAATATTTTATAAAAACGATTGAAACAAAAAATAGCTGATGTAGTATTAATATTATTTATATATAAATTAATGCCAGTAAATTAAGAAGTATTAATATTATGTTCATATTATTCATATAAACTTACCTATTACAACAGTGCCACCTTTAATATAAAAAACAAAACATATTTTGTTGCTGTTTTGAGAAAATTTAAAAAACTTTGTTAATAAGTAATTCAATAAAAAATATGTATACTTTGATTACGACTTCGTCAAGAAATATGTGTATAACCATTGGCTTTTCAATATCATAAGCATATCAAACTGTTATCTGAATAGAACTGTTCCAAATTATTATCGAGAAGGCGCTATCTACTTAATTATTTTCAAATAGCGTATAATGGTATATTAATTTAAATGACTTGGTAGAATATTTTTACAATTCATTCTAACTTTGAGAACCAATAGAATAAGCTAACATAGAACTAAGTACTGTAGTATAGTAATTTAATTTTTACACTTACGAAAATATAATTTTCATAGTTTATGAAGATAATTTGAACTTGCATGTACAAAGTATATATAACATGAACTATGTCTTACGCAAAATCGTTAAAAATATAAATCATTATTATTATCAAAAATTAAATTTTTTTTTTCAGAAATTAATAATATCTTATATTCTATAATAAAAAAAAAATTGTTTCTCTCCCCTTTGAAGTAGTATCAACTTAAATGTTTAAAACGAAAACATTTTGCTAACTTAAAAATAAGAGAATGATTGGTCAATAACAACTTTTGAATCAGTATTTTAAAAGATATTAGGACTTTTATATTATGGCGGGAGAAGTAGTGTGGTTTATATATGCACAGAGATACGAATAATCAGACCCACTTTACTCCTCTAGCCTTATTAGTACAAGTGTTAATATCTTTTAAAATACTGGTTCAAAAATTGTTGCCGACCAGTTATTTTCTGAATTAGATAATTTTTTATTTTATAAATTAATTAAATATGAATGTTTCTATTTATAAATTATAGAACATAGGATACTATTAACTTCTGAAAAGAAAAAATTGTTATGTTATATATTTTTAAAGATTTTGCTTGAAGTATAGTTAAACCATCACCTTATAAATACACAGATAATAAAGACTACAGAAGTTTCAACCTAGAAGCTCCGAAAGAAATTTCCTTAAAATCCCCTTATGTAAAAAAAAAAGGTCTCCAACATAATGTGAGGCCTTTTGGCACAATCAAACTGATTCTAAGTGCTTAAATTTGTGATGGTGTCACGTTATCATTATTGTGAAAATTTATTATAATAAAATACAGATGGCACATCCGCTTCCTGAGACTGATGAATTACCAATTAATATTTATTGTTAAATTGGCAATAGTCCAAATTATTATAAAAACCCAAATGACTTGGCCATCTTGGTCTGTTGACTCCAGTGCCTTGTGTCGTTCATCAGTAACAGTACTCAGTTGTCACTGTCCCGCTTATTGCTTAAAGTAAAGTCTTTGTTTTTCCTTTTTAACCTATCTACTCTCTTCCTCAACATTTCAGAGTACTTGTGTCTTGCACCTCATACTCTGTTAACCTTGTTCTTTGTCCTCTCCTATACTCAAAGTATTTGTGTCTTGCACTTATTCTGCAACTCATACCTAGGTGTTACCCTTATTCCTTTCCTATAACAATAGCCTTTCGACACCCACATCTAACCCGTAGTGTAAGCCGAGTACGGTGACTGCTGTATGACAACACGCACGTGAATACCTAGACAGCAGGCTACTCCTTATCCTCATCTTCTTCGTACGCTTTTACTTTCTGCTTTGTGTTACGACAAATTTTTCAATTATTTTATAGTATAATCAAAAAATTGTTTTTTTATTAACATTTACATAGGCACAATCCATAAGATCTAGAGAACACTTAGTGCCCTCCTCTAAAGTTGAAAATGACACATAAATTTATATACTTTAAAGGAGAGAAGAAATAAACTAATTGTGCTTAAGAATATTTAATTGTCTTACAATACACACTTAGCAAAAGTTTTTTAACTATTGATAGGAGGTTGCCCATGGAAAAAAAAAGTTTTTTTTTAATAAAAATTGAGAGTGGGACTATTAGATAATTCCCTAACTTTTATGAGATATCTTATAATAACTAGCTAGGATAATTATAAATATATTTAGAGTTTTTAAATGAAGGATTATTGTTTTGTATTTTAGTAAAACTTAACAAATTGAATAGAGTGAAATAAATTATACAAGCATATAAAATAAAAACAATAAAAACTAAAAAAGGGTGTTTAGTAAATAAAATACTAAAAATGATGGTATTATAGTATAATATATAAACTAACAAATACAACTTCTTTCTATTTTTTTTCCAGAATATTTCTTAAGTTATTTAAGGTTTGTGATTCTTCAGAGCTGTCACTAAATGTCTTACTACCTAAAAATAATTAAACAAGTTATTTGTTAGTTACATTATTTTAAATTAAAATATAACTAATTCATAAAGTAAATTCAGTTTCATATTTATGAAATATTAAAACACCATAGTGTAAAAGGAGTTAAAAAAAAATAAACCCAGCACAGTGGGGTCGCGGCACAGTGGAGACGTAGCATAGTTGGGTCAAGTATAATGATATCTGACAGTGATTAAAATCACTACCACAAAAAACGCTTCAATGCAAATCTGTAGATAGTGTTTAATTTTAAAAAATTGGTGAATTATTGCAAAAGCTACATGATCTCCTATTTCCTTATTTATATCCTGATTACAAGTTTTATGATTTATAAGTGTAATATATTTATAATATATAAATAAATAAAGGGAAATGGTCCAATTAAAAAAAAAATAATGTTGCATAAAAGAAGAATATAAATACTACTTAAATACTACTTATTATAAAAAAATTATTATAAAAGTATTATAAAGTTAAACAAATTAAAAATAATTTTTTTACAAAAATCGTATTTTTTTTATTAACTTTAATGTTTGTTTTCACCATGAAAACACTTTCAAAAGTTAATTTTTTGTGAAAAAGTTGTCAATTTGAATACTCTCTGTGGGCAGGTAAAGGGTCAGATTTATCAAAAAAGTATACCAAATGATAGGTAAGTACCTTACGTATTTATATAATAAAAAATCATATTAATTTGATCATTTTTACTTAAACTGTTACTTAAAACTGCCATAAGTTTTAAGTAAAAAAAAAATTGCAAAATGTCGAAAATTAACAATTTTTAAGTTTGTAATTTTTTTTTGGTGATTTCCCACATTTACAGGGAACGAGGACAATTTTTTCAATTTTTGATAGTAATGTGTTTGACTATATACAATTTGTGATCTTTTGACGTATCGTTGAAAGAAATCGGTTCGGTGAAAGCTGAGAAAAAGTGGTAACAGACACAAAAAAAAACACATCATAGTAAAATTAATACCTTCTCAGCTTTGCATCAAAGTTAAAATTGTATATTTTATAGTAAAGTAAAAAAATATTTAACTTAGAGAGCCATAAAAATAACTAAAAACTATATATATATGTATTCCAGTAAAAATGTTTCATCATCAGCCCTAAACATATACAGTACTGTTTATCTGGACCTTTGTTTAGATATACTTAGTAACTAAAATTATTTTATTGTTTTCAATCATAAAATTATAATTGTCATTTTTTTTATGATGAATTAATGCAATATAATCCTATACAATGCCCCCATTTTGATTATGATATACTGCAACAGTATATATTGGAAAACCAACTTATTTCACTAATTTATGTACAAGGTATTCAACAATCAATATAGGATTGCATGTATTCTGTAATAATAACATTAACCTTTTCTGTAGCACGTAATAAAATGAAGCCTTATTGTATTAATGATCTAATGAAACTAAACATAAAATTTTAATAAATTCAGCACACCCTTAGCAAAAATCTTATGCACACCTATTATATTCATAAAAGTAAATATTTATGGAAAATTTCATAAAATATGAAGCTTAGAATTATTCAATTCTACTATAAAATAAAATAAAGGACTTTTTCTTCTTTTTTATAGCTTTAAATTAGCATAAAATTTAATTAGTTTACTACTTGTTAAATGATGATTAATTACCCCCATATTGCTTTCTTTATTTTTGATAACAATCCTTCACCAGCATTTGGGAATGATTGGTTTTGTTCAGCTTGGGGTCCTAAAAACAAAGAGTTTTGTTTAAATTCAAAATTGATTAGAAAAATTGATCTCTAGATATCACAATAAATTGACACATTTTTGACATCAGCAAATAGTTTTCATATATTTAATACAGTTTTCCAATAATATTGATATTCTATAATAGTGGTTAAATAATATTTTTGAGACAAATAAAATCCTTTTATTAAACAAGCCACTAGAGCGGGTTACACAGTGCATCAGATTTTTCTAGATTTGACATTATGTATTTAATATTGCATTAATGGAAGTTATTTACATTAAACCATAATGAAAATGGAAAATAACCAAAATAAGATTTGATCGTAAACACTTAATTTTGGTAAAAATAAAGAATTTTATTATTAATTTGATTTATTACTAAGGTGTAGATTTTTAAATATAAGTGGTGCAGGAAACTCGGTCAATAAATTTCAAAGATTAAATTGATCATCTTACAAGTCAACAACAATTTTGTCATATTACTCTCTTAACTTGATTACCTATTAAAGTGTAATTCAAATTCTTAATGCCTATGGAAAAGTTAAAGGTCTTTGTATCAAAATATATTGTGAAATTACCGGCATATTTGCATAGAATTCATGTAATTTAAAAATTCGCCTTTTTTAAATTAGCTACCCATATTCAAAGTTTAATCAGTAATAAGTAAGAAAGATCTATTATTAACTCACTTTTTGATCAAAATAAAACAGCTTCATTATATCATCATTCAAGAAATACCTTTATCACTTACTTCTTAATTAAATAATCATAACACGAAACTCTTTTTATAAAATCACTGAGAGAAAATAATTAAAATGTGTAAACATCATGCATTGCTAAGCACAAATTAATATCATCCGTGCAAAAAATGTTGGGTTTTTACACCAGACTATACAAGATGGACATTGATTATTTTTAAATCATAACACTGAAAAAAAAAACCTTTCATCCTTAATTATTTGGTCCTTCTGAACCTCTCCCTTTGTAGTGGTCCTGAGAATAAATTTTTTATAGTTTCTAAGGTAACTTATAACAAAGTTTTTTTAAATAATTAAGCTTTTAAAATTCATATAATTAATCCATAAATGTGTATGTTAGTTAAAGTAACAAAATAACCCAAAAATATATAATACAACATATATAATTACTTACACTACAATAATAATTGTGTGAATACCTTGTAGTCTATTTAAAGAATAAAAATTATTTAATGAAATTCTTATTAGAATGTAAATACTATTTTTTATTGGATCTTTTTTCTAGATACTCACTTAAACCCATTTGTTATATTTAAACAAATGTGTCAAGTATTAAATGTGTAAGTACATAAATAAATATTAATTAAAATTTGTAATTTTGAACATATAGTTTTATACTTAGAATATAATTTTGAATACTCAATTTACTTAATTAAAATTAAATTTTTTATTTTTATTAAAACAATATATGATACATGTATTATTCCAGTGACATATTAAAAATGGGGTTATAACACCACCTTGATCAGATACCATAAATAAAATTTAAACGTATCTTTTCAAATTATTATATGACGACTAAAAAATTAACTTTATAAATTTTAAAAATATATACAGAGTGATCAAAATCTGGTAAGACACTCATTTTCTCAGAAAATAGAGAATTTTAAATTTTATTATAGAGAAAAAATATCAAGTTCAAAAAATTCTACAATAATATGTAGTCAAACCATTATTTTTTTCGTCCCTTCAAGGATAAAAACCCTTATTTATAATTTTCTTAAATGGGAACCCTTATTTTTAACTTTATAATATGATAGAAAAAAAAAAATACAAACAATTTTGTTCTTATAATTTTTTTTATCCGATTAACGTTCGTCTATTACAGCTTGTTAAAGTTAAGTGATTTTAGGCCCAGTTTCTATTGTCATTTTACTGTATTAAATACAGAAGTCATTATTTTTATTTGCTATTACATAAACCAAATTTTATTGATCAAGTTATGACAGGTATATTAGCTATAAAAATTTACTACGCACTAAATGAGTGATAATNATTTTTTTTATCCGATTAACGTTCGTCTATTACAATAATAGATTCAAATCGGGTTTACGGTGTATTATTAATAGCTAAGTTTATGGTTTTGTAAGACTAAAGGATCTAACAAAAATACTGGTTGCACTGCCACCGATATTATGAAATGTAATAAATGACAATATTTTTTCTCAAACTCAAAATCTTTAAACAATTATAAAACATAAACGGTTGTTCGGATAAAAAAAATTATAAGAACAAAATTGTTTGTAATTTTTTTTTTCTATCATAATATCAAATCAAAAATAGTGGTTCCCAATTAAAAAAATTATAAATAAACATTTTTATCCCTGAAGGGATAAAAAAAAATTTATTTAACTTCATATTATTGTAGAGTTTTATAAACTTAATAATTTTTCTTTTTACAAAAATTTTAAATTCTCAATAGTTTTTGAGAAAATAAAATTTTGATAAAAATCGTACCAGATTTTTATCACCCTAACAAATCAAATTTTTTCAATAAAGAAAGTAAAAAAATTTTTAAATGTTTATTTATAAGGCATTTCAAAATGCTCTTAGTGTACAAACATTTATTGCTATAAACTAGAGTACTATTGTTATTATTTTCTGCTATACTTTATTAAAATGAGATGGAAACATTTTATTATATGATATGCTAAAAAGGTGATAAAAAGATATATATTGTGAGACTGTCCTTGAAAAAATCTTGCGTATGTTGTTTTTAATATGACATATACTAAAAACTTACCATCTTTTTTGTAATTTATGCCTCTAATTGTTCCAGGAGTATCACTTTCAATTTCTGCATAAGCTTTAATCAAGGTCTCTTGTTTACTAGATAATGATTTAGGTACTTCTATTTTAATAATCACATAATGATCTCCATGATTATTAGAATTTACTCTTTTTAAGCCTTGTTTATTTAAACGAATTTTTGTGTGTGAACTAGTACCAGGAGATATCTGAAATGATAGATTGTGGTTATACTAAACATAAAAAATGAATTTAAAGCCTTTTATTACAATCAATATAAATATCAATATTTGACATTCAGAGTATTTTCTTTGATACAATTAAGTAAATAATAAAAATATGTTTTATAAAATAAATGAAAATCATTAATATATAGAAATAGAAATTCATGACTAGTTTGGTTTTTGTAAATTCATATGCATCATTACTTCATGAAAAATCAGGGGTTGTATTCTTATACATTACAAATTGTAGAAAAAAATGAACTAAGAAATATGTTACCTGTACAGTATGATCATCATAAATCCCCCTGATTCTAATAGATCCGCCTAACAATGCTTGTGATATAGATATCTTAGCTTCTGTATGAATATCTGAACCATCTCTCTTAAAGTAATCCGACTTTTCTACTTTAAAAGTAACAAATACTTCATTTCTGTTTACTACAATTCTAATAGTCTGTCCATCTTCAATTCCTGTAAGATACAAACTACAAATTTAATAAAAGTAAATTTCAGTTTTGAAAATCTTAAAAAGAATAAATTTTAGTCTTTTTTTAAAAAATATTTTCAATGTAGGTCTTTAATTTTTATTTCTATACATTTTTCTTTCTATTCTACATCTGTAGATATGATCATAGAGGAATATAAATAATGTATTGATAATTTTTTAATGAGCAAAAACATACTTATTGAATTATAAATCCATAAAAAGGTAAAAATTTTAAATTAATAACTAACCTGCAGGTACAGGAACTGTCACTTTATTACGTTGTACAGTACTTCCTTTACCATGACATTCCATACATGGATTTTTAATAATCACTCTAGTACCTTGGCAGGCTCTGCAAGTTGATTTCATCAAAAAGGGACCTATAATTTTAAAAAGAAAATAAATTTTTATTTAATGTAAATATTTGAATTAAAGTAATATTTTTTTTACCTCTTGATACTGTTTCCATTCCTGTTCCATTACAAATTGTGCATGTAGTTGCTTTATATCCTAATTCACAGCGTGTTCCACGGCATTTGGGACAGACATCAACTACATTTAATGAAATTTCTTTGTTAATACCTCGAGCAGCTTGTTCAAATGTTAATCGAACAACTACCTGAAAATGTTTGTAAAATATTTTAATAAAATATTTAAAAAAAAAATATTTATATGTTACTTCTTCAGCAGCTCCAAACCCAAAAGTTGAATCAGCAAAATCTTCCTGGTATGATCCAGAATTACCAAAGCCACTTTGGTTAAAAATCTTTCGAAAAAGTTCTTCTGCATCAACATTAGATTGGAAACTCCAAGAATTTTGATAATTTCCACCTCCCATTCCACCAGAACCGCCCATATTGTTTCCTGCTGAACCCCAGGTATCATATTCTTTTCTTCGATTTTCATCACCTAATACCTATAGAATAATTTTACAAAACTAAAATAACACAATTGATTATAAATTGTTAAATTCACAATATTTAAAAAAAACTAAGACCAGTACAAGTATATTATTTATTAAATATTCAATAATATACTAATATAAATTGAATTAAACCAATTCAATTATTACATTATAAAAAATTTTTTTTTTAAATATTGATATGATGTTATAATTTTAACAATATGTTTAAATATTGATGTTATAATAAATTTTAATAAATATAACATTCATATTATTTAAAATATTTACAGATAAGTCTTTAGTTTTATATTATATTACATAAACTGGCTATTCTAAAAATTTGAAAAAATTTACAGCGAAATGTTAGTTGTATTAAAAGTTATAGAGTTGTCAGTACGTATAAAATATTATAAAACTAAAGACATGGATATATCTCCAAATTTTCTAAATAATACAACAACTGAAAGCTTTAGTAAATTAATTGAAAAATAGATGAAATATAGTTGAATAACAAGGGACAATATTAATTATATATAAATTACTTTTAAATTAGAAATTAGAATGACGAGTTCTTAAATTTACTAATAAATATATTATTTTTCTTTAATTTTATATACTAATACTAAATTGATAAATAGAACAGTTAAATACATATTAAACCAACCTCGTAAGCTTCTGAAACTTCTTGAAATTTCTTACTTGCACTTGGATCGCCTTTATTTGTGTCTGGATGAAATTTTTTAGCTAACTGATAGTATGCTTTTTTAATATCTTTTTGTGAGGCATTTTTTGGAACACCCAAGATATTATAGAAGTCTTTTTTATTATTTAATTTTTTGCTAGTATGTACAAATTTATAACTTGTCTGTTGAACTGGATTTATAGCTGAAAATCGATAATATTATATGTATAATCAAACAATATTTACAAAATAAGAATTGATCACTTGTGGCTAATATTATTTAAAATAAAAAATTTATTAAAATATTAATTTTAAACTATGAATATAAAAAAAAATTAACTCAATAAACTACAAATATTACAAAAAAAAGGTATATGTTTAGTACTGATGGTGCTAACATTGTTCTCAAAAAATACATATATGTAATTCTTTATAGTAATTTTTGTGGTTCTTTACATTTAATTATTTTTTAATTTAAAGTATGTATTTAATTTTCAACAATTTTTATGATCTTAGAAAGACTTAAATTAAGTAAGTAGTTCTATCCTTATATATATTAAAATGTGACCTAAACATAACTTAATATATAACTGCCACATTAACTGTAATCATAAAAATAAAACTGACAAAGCCCAATTCTGATTTAATATAAATAATGAAAAATTTAATAAAATAATGTGTATAAATTTTCAATTTAATATTGAAAAAATTTAATTAATAAAATCAAATAGAAAAACTTTGCAAATTAGTACTTAATTATTCACTGTTAAGAACTAATTTAATAAATTATGTATTGATAAAAGAAAAGTCTTATACGATAAATTATAAAAATTTTTTAAATAATTATAATAATAATAAAAAATAATATGAATTAAAATGAACATTTTTGAAATTTTATTTAAATAAAGAATCGCCACATGATACATTGATTTCAATTGAAAATAATAATGATCAACGATATTATATTTAAAAATTGAAAAATACTAGAACAACACAAGTTGTGTGATAAAAAAGAATATAAATCCTTTTAAATAGTCTTAAAATAGAAATATATAAATAACCCAGAATAATATGTAGTAATTAAGTAAATTAATTGGTATTTAAGAAAAACCTTTGTAAATATTAAGTAACTAATACAGAACAGCAAGTTATTTATATTTATGGTTTGATAAATTTACAAATATATAAATACTAACAGTTATTTTTGAAATCATAAGTGGTTTATAATTTTAAAAATACTAAATAATACATATCATTTAACAACTTAAATATTTACAATCTTTATAAATAAATGTATAAAAATATTTATTTTTTTTTAAATAAATTAAATATTACCACGAATTAATGGTGGTTGTTTATTAATTAATGGATACTTGTGATATGCAGAAAAATGGCAACGGTTTAATTGTATGAATGACGGAGAAAATTTCTTAATAGGAACTAAGAAAAAAACACGTTTCATGTTACACGCCGGCATGTTCTCATAATTTCAAGCAGACAGAATTTAAGATAATTAATCAATACATTTGTTCATTCAAAAATTCTAATGAGTAATATAAAAACATTCTTACATAACTGTAAAATAAAATCACATGAGGTAAATAATTATAATAAAAAAGTAAAATTATTGATAACGAATACAATCATAGATAATCATTCATTAACTTTCTGTGATAAGGAGTCTTAACCGATAAAAAAATAAATCTTGCGCTCAATCTTTTTTATAAATTAATGCCAATTATTAATTAAAAATTAAAAACAAAAGTTTTTGTCATAGATAGTCTTAAATAAATACCAAATTACTCCTAAAAATCTGTACATTTTTTGTATTTCAATTTACAGAAATTTAAACTGAAAATATCTTTAAATTCTTATCTATTTTATGGTATATCTAAAGCTGGTTACATACGAAAAGGTTAGGGATAAAAACTGCTCATTTTTAAATTCATATATATATATGCTGTAGAACACAAATGAATAGAGATGGGATTTTTGACTCACTGATATGAATCAGTTCATTTGAATCAGTTCACTCAAATGAGTTGACTCAGTGAGTCAACTCACAAATCGTCGAATCTTTAAAGGCGCGATTCTGACTCGTGAGTTGTAGAAGTTTGTCGAACGCGAATTACAACTCGCAACTCACAAGGCATACTCATAGAGTGCCTTCTAAATGCGCCTTAATAGTTATCTTAGCTAGATTAATATCAAATATGAAATATCAATGAATTATTGTTTTACACAAATGTGAATAATAATTTATTTTACTCATTGTAAATAATTATTATTTATTAACTACTATTGTAAAATGAAATGTAATATTGCTATCAATAATTTTTTATTTATTATTTGTTTATATATATTGGAATTAAATTAAAGCCCGAAAGAAATGAGAATCAAATTCAAATTGTATGTACATTATTGAAAAAGTAGTTGGTTATTACTAATTAATAATTTTATGAGATAATGGGCCTCAAACCCTGATTTTTACCTTTAAGATGGTTGAGCTAATTTTTAGTTAAAACTTTTAATCATTCAATAGTTTGATTCCTTTTTTCTTCTGTTAAAATTTTAGATTCTCAATACATACCCACAATAGTTACACAAAAAGTAATTTATTTAGTTATTTGATGTTTATAAAATATTTTTCTATTAAATTGTTTAATATTTTTACTAATTATATTTAAATTTGTTAATTATTATTGAAATAAAAAGTAAATTTAAAATCTAAAAAAACTATTTTTTTATTAACATCAACAAATATTTTATTTATGTGTTAAATTAGGTATATAAATACAATGTAGGTATTATCAACGTTTAATGTTTAGTGCATGCAGTGAGAAAATAGGTCTCTTCTCTCGTATATTTCAAAATTTTCTTGTATGCAATTACAGGTCTATTCTTGAATGAATATTGTTCTAAAAACTAACATATTATGTATAATCTAGTCTTATTTATTTAAAATTTTACTCATTGTGTCAATGCTGTTCCCTGTGATTACAATAAATCTTGTGCACAAAATCGAAAATTGTGAAACACTTTATTTAATTTACGAAGGTATTTTATTTCATTTTAAAATGAATAAATCAAGTGTTATTTGGGATTTTTTTCAACTTGAAGCAGTTAATATTCATGTAAAGTGTGGACTTTGTCGTATAAAATTAAAAAATAATTATTCTTCGACTTCAAATTTAATTAGATATATTAAATCTAAGCATCCATTAGTAAATTTATTAAATAGACTCATGTAATAGAAGAGACGATTGATGACCCAAATGTTACTCCATTAACTTCTACTTCTGTAAGTTAAATCTATATATCACAATTCGCATGATTCAGAATTTATTGATAAGACGTTTTAAACTAAATTCAATTCTTAGTAGTCCACACTGAGTCATTGAGTCACAGTACCATGGCACACTGATTCAGCTCATTCAGTTCACCTAAAACAGTCAACTCTTTGAATTGACTCACTCACGAACTACCCATCCCTACAAATGAATATAGTTTAAAAAAACTGAAAAACACTCTTTTAAATCAAATCGAACTAAAAAGTTAAAAATAATTTTAAAAATAAGTTTAAAACAATAATGAACAAAAAATACTAGTATTATTAAAAAAAAAACGTGGGGGCTTTGTGCCATATTTTTCGTGTGTTGAACACCCGACGCTTTTAAAAAACAATAATAAAAACATACACTAGTAATATATATAAAAAAAAACTTAATTATTATTACTTTGCAATGATGACTCTATTTTACAAGCTTAGTGCATTATTTGGATAGTTTACATTCTAAGTAAAGTAGTTTCTCAACATTTTTGCATTAATTTAAGAGTTGCACAGTCTAGTCCTATTTTAAATACTGTCTTAATCACAGCTCTTCAAAATTATATCCATTTTATCGCCTAACATAATTTGACGTATACAAGATTGTTTATTAATATATACTGCAAAATCTGGCTCTGTTAAGATCGCTGATTGAAACACCCTCCATTTTTTTGATAGAATTATTAAAATATTGACCGTATACTCAATATGATGAACCCTTGATAGTCGATAATTAATATTTCTTCGTTCATTAAAGGTATCCTACTTGGAAATGTCTTTAATAAATGTCCAAGAAGCGCAAACACTTTGTCTGGTACCAAAATAAATGACTGAGCTTCATCAGTTTCTAGATAAATATCTCTTTTCCGGTAAGTTAGTCATATTGGAATAAAGTTTTATACCAAACGGAGACGACTTAAATACATTATAGTCACTTTCTTTTCCATAGGACCAGGGCCGCATTTAGGAATTTTGTCGCCCGGTGCACTTAATTTTGCCGCCCCCCAAAAAGTGTTGGGTTGGGTTTTTTAGTTGAGCAAAAAAAAAAAAGTCTTCAAAGCAATTTCCCTTGTTTACATTAGACATCTATTTTAAATTTTAAATTAAATAAAAATAATTAATTTTTAAAAATTGTATACCTATTAAGATTTTTGCCGCCCTTCAAAATTTGCCGCCCGGGGCAAATGCCCCCAATGCCCCCCCTAAATGCGGGCCTGCATAGGACCCAACATTTATTATCCGAAAGCAATATTTTGAGCCACATATTGCCATTAGAAAAGAAAAAAGTTCTTTTCTGTTTATTTAAAGCTATACAGGGTGATTTTTTTATCATAACCCACTCAATTACTTGCAGAATAATAATAATTTAAACATTTTTTTTTTTTATTATCTTTAGTTACACATTATTCTTGAATTTTTAACTATGTAATACTTTTTAAGTTCATCCCTTATGCCTTGGAGGGGGGTCAACTTTGTTTTTTTAAATGGTAACACATATTTTTAATTTAATAAAATGTTTGAGTTTTTAATTTAATAGTAAATGGCATTTGAATTTTTAATATAACTTTATTAGCTTATTAGATATAAACATTTAAAGTTTCAAAATTTTGAGTTAATATACATGTATAATACACATGGGATTGTAAATACAGGTAGTTAATTGGATTTTTATAACATCGATATTAGCAGGTACACAGCAATGTTATTATCAATTGTAGTAAGGCACATTATTATGAGTTTATAAATACACGAACTGACAATACAGAAAGTATATCTATTGATAATAATAATTGATAATAAACAATCCGTAACTGAGACAGCAATGTCATAAAAATCCAATTAGCTACCTGTATTTACAATCCCATGTGTATTATACATGTATATTAACTCAAAATTTTGAAACTTTAAATGTTTATATCTAATAAGCTAATAAAGTTATATTAAAAATTCAAATGCCATTTACTATTAAATTAAAAACTCAAACATTTTATTAAATTAAAAATATGTGTTACCGTTTAAAAAAACAAAGTTGACCCCCCTCCAAGGCATAAGGGATGAACTTAAAAAGTATTACATAGTTAAAAATTCAAGAATAATGTGTAACTAAAAATAATAAAAAAAAAAATGTTTAAATTATTATTATTCTGCAAGTAATTGAGTGGGTTATGATAAAAAAATCACTCTGTATAATAGTAAATAGCTTGACATCGTTAAAATTCATGAATATTGTCATTTACAAATATCACAAAATTGGTGCCCATAAAACCGCTCGCGTGTGAATAGTAGACAGAAACGCTTATTTTCAAAGCGGTAATATCAATAATTAATATCAAAGCGGTTTTCTATTCGTGACTGCTGGAAATTAAACCGTTTGTTGTGTAATTAGCTTAATAAACCATATTAACTTATATAAAATAAAATCTGAACGTTATATATACGTTCGTGAACGGGCGATTGAAATATAGACCCCTGGTCTATTAATACATGTCTATGGTACTCACAAACCACATAAAACTTAATAATAAATTATTAAAACAAATATTTCACTATTTTATAAGTAAAATATTTGTTTTTTGGCATAACTATTAATTTTAAGATATTACGGACCGTTTTTGACCGGCCCTCAAATTACCCTTCTGGTTGTTTGTGGTTCATTTTCTTATTGTGTGATAACATTATCACTTATCATATTGTAAATATTGTTGATGTTTGTAAAAATTAAAGTAAGAAACAATTTTGGATATGTAAAATGAAAATTACTACTTTTCTATTAAGTATTCTTAAAATTAGTTATTAATACTAAATATTTTTTATGAAAGTATTGACTTATTTTTTTTCCTTTAAGATAATCATTTTTAATAAAATTTTAAATTTCTAAGCTATTTTTACAATTTTTTTTTTTAATTATCTGTTTTATTTCTACGCTTAATACAATGGATTTAAATAATATGCAAGTTGCATTAAATACAGTTAGAACATTAAGATTAGAACTAATGCAATTAATTATTGAAATTGGCGAAGGAGTTAAAGAAGATGGAACTCAATGTGAACCTAAAGATAATCGTTACATTTGTACAATGAATGAAATGGTCGGAAAACTTGGAAATCATATGAGGTCGAGTTACTTTATACAGTTTAAAAAAAAATGTTATTTTAAATTATCTAAATTAAAAAATCAATTTTTAGCATGGTCATCTATTTTAAATATTTAATAAAACAATTATATTTGAAAAAAAAATGTTATAACCAAAATAATATTTTGCTTTGTAGTATTTATTTTACTATCTTATAGTAACATAATATATTTATTGTAGATTTAATAATACAGTTTAGTGAGATACTAGATAGTGTTAAAGACTTTGAACTAGATTTCATTAATTGTAATATTTATTATTTATATTTTTAATTGTTTTAGGCATCTTGAACAAGTTGTTGGATCTTTATCGAGTCCTCCTGCTCCAATTGCTAGTATCTTATATAATACTTCTTATTTAACTCAAGAAAGTACTTCAGACCGACAAGCATTATATACTCCTTTAGTTTCTTCTCATAAGTGGCTTGACAAAGTAATAAATTAATTTTTGTTATATTTTAAGAGTATTTTTGAACTAAAGATTTTACAAAAAAATATATACAGAGTGATTAATTCATCATGCCTCGTGCAATATCTCTATAAGTATATAACATATTATATTTTCTTTTCAAAAATCCTATGTACAATCAAAATTATTTGAAATTAAATTATTTAATACATTTTAAATAAAATTACTTTAATTTTCGAAAATGCATATTAAATTATAATATAAAATATACTTTACAGTTGATAATGATGCTGACCGTAACTCTCAATAATAATTTTTTTTTTGGACTCTGTAAAGATGTTTCACTTAAAAAAAGTTTTTTTTGTATAAAAATATAAGGGTTTGATGCAATATTTTTTTTTTACTTATGAATTGTAAATAAATTGGTTAACAAGGAACTTTTATGGGAATAAAAATATCTTTTTCTAATTCAATTTTTCACACTGTTTTCAAATTTGAAGTTAGACATATTTATCACTTTTATGTTTTGATATTATTACTAATTTTTAGAAAAATGAGTATTTACATATAATAAAATAATTAAAAACAAAAAAAAACTGTGTTTAATATTATTACTGATTTTGATTTTTAATGTTAAAAATAATCAGTGCAAAATATAATTCTCAACCTTTTTTGAAAGTTTATAATAAAAAATAAGTTGAATTTATAACTATAACTTTTAGATCAACTTGCAAGTTTGAAGATTACATCATAAAATAGAAAATTTAATTTTAATAAAATTATTAAGATTGATATGCAGTTAGGAAGTTTTATAATTACTATTTATAGTAAATTTATCAGAGTAGCTCAATATTTTTTTGCATTTTTATTGTAATAGGTAACTGAAATAGAAATAATAGTAATCATTACCTAGTAACTTTTGGTGTTTAAAAAGATTCTAAAATTGAAATATGCAGAACTGAATTAATTTTAATAATTTACTTTAACTAAAAAAACCAATCAAAAAAAATTATTAATAAGATCTACTCAATTGAGTGTATTATAAAATTTGATTATAAATATAAAAATTCAGGTAAAACTAAAAATCACTTTTTTATTTAAATTATCTATATAGTAAGATGTTACCAAAAAAATTGGAATATTATAGACTGTTTCTAACACACATAAATATAGTTAAAAAATTAATATATTACAAAGTACAATTATTTAAATTTGTAGTTGAAACCTATCAAACCTAATTCGACAAAAATATTAGAAATGAATGATTTTAATTGTCAGTATGGAGAAAACAGGTTAAGCAACTTTTTATTTGATAAAGAGGAATTTTTTTTTAAGTTTTTAAGGGTAATATATTTAACTAGATAATAGTTGCGATCATTTGATGTATTGTTAAAAATAAAATAAAATATAAAACTGAGAATTATAACACAAAAATAACAATTTTTTGAATATGGTAGCCATTTTCATCATGAAGACAATCAATAGTTTGAAAATTATGATAATTTTGTTTATAGTAAAGTATATTTCATAAGCTTTAATTTAAGATATATATAAAAGTGTCAGTGATTCCCGGAAAACTTTCAAAAGTTAATAATCATTTTCTGTACGAAAATTATTATTTTATTGATGATGAATAATAAAAATATGCTTTAAAGATAGACTAAGGTAATAATTATTTTTCAGAAAATTATAATTGTATTAAAAGTGTTATCAGCTACGTTTGAAACATTGCAGATATAATATTGGAGTCCCACAATGTTCTGATAAATTCTTTACATTTTGATATACAGAATGTGTTTGTAATTTCTTTTAAGTACTTTTTAGAGCCTAGGATTATAATAATGTATAAAAAAAAATTAAAAGTATAATTATTTAAAAGTCTGCTTAAAGCTAAATGTAAGGGAATTAAAATATACTCTTAGCATGTGGTTATAACCTTCTTTATCATTCTTAACTGGTTATAAGACTGAAAATTCTTTGGGGTAATATTTCCATAAACGATTCACAAAACATTTTCTATCCCATGTTAGAGAATAAGAGTAACCTCATCTAACTTATGACATAAATTTTGTTTAAGGGTTTTAAACTATGTTTGATTTTCAGTTTATGAATGAATGGACAATTTAAGTATTAGCATGTTGAATAAAATTTTATGTTCAAAAATTTTTAGTATGGTAAAAGTTACTGTTAGTTTTACTTGTAAATATTTAATTGTACTATTTATTTTAAAAATGATTGTTTTAATTTTTTTTGAAAATTATTTCAATATTTAGGTTCATAAATTTAGCTCAAATGCGTTACAAATTTTAAGTCAAAATTCATTAAAAAAATCTTACCACAATTCAAGTTCTAACAAGAAAAAAAGACATCAATCTACTTTACTTAATATTTCACCTCAGTAAGATTTCAAGTATCTCATTTAAAATAATATTTTACCAGTTTATTAATTTACAAGCTTTCATTTCCTTTAATAAATACTTTTTGTTTATAAATTAATTTTTTTTTAATTTTATAATTAAATATGCTATGTTTTTTGGTAATTATCTTTCATTTTTTCAGTTTCTCATCTTCAAGATTTTTAAATTATTAAATCTAAATAATTTTCTTTATACTTTTTTATAGGGCTTTTGATGGTTTATTGACCAATATTGATAGAATGTTTCCAGATTTAAACATTACAATTACAAGACCATGTTCTTCAAATGTGGTTCTTTTGGTAAGTTATACAGTTTTTACCCATAATTTTATAATAGATATTAAGAGTAAAAAAAATCAGGTTGGATTAGGTAGAGTATTGCAAGCTATTGTAACTTTCAAAGGAATCATGATTGAGTGGGTAATAGTAAAAGGATTTAATGAGCCTATAAATCCAAATAATCTTCAACAAGAACTTTGGAGTGAGTCAAGATATCAAGTTTTTCGTAAGATAACAGATCATGCTAACGCAGCAATGTTGCATTTCTCTTCTTCTACTTTACCTGAGTTTTCTGTCAAGTCATTTATGGTAAAAAATTTAAAAAAATGTAATGATTTTGTAGCGTGGCACCAATTTAATTAATTTGTCATTTTTTTTAGATGTGGTTGAATAGCTACACAAATTTATTTAACTCTGTATGTAAAGCATGTAGCAATAGATTACTAAATGCATATCCACCTACTTGGAGAGATTTAAGATCATTGGAAACATATCATTTTGAATGTAAACCATGATTTATTTTTAAAATTTTTAAAGACTATGTATAAAAATATTTCTCTTATTTATATTTAGTTTAATTCTTATCAATTTAATAAATATATAAAATATGTAATTTAATATGAATTATCTTTTAAAATATGAAATGCATTAAGATTTCAATTTAATATAGTGAAAATTATATTTACTGTATAATGAAATAATTTTGATTAAATATTTTAACAATTTAATAATTGTTTAAATTTATTTTATTTTTAAATATTGAAAAATAAAAATTTGTTTTTTTTATCACAGACTATAATAGAAAATATACTTTTAATATAATCCAAAACTTTAAAAAGAATAGTAATGAAAGCTATTTACTGGATCAAAAGTTGTTAAAGATATCATAACCTAATGGGACATTGTATAAAAAAGTTATTTCCACTAATTATCAATTAATATAATTTAAGTTTTAATAATGACTCTACATAGTGTTATGATCCTAAAGGTATTAAAATTCTAAAGCCTAAACAATTTTCTCGCAGAACTTAAAATAGAATATCTAAAATGATTTTACTAATTGAGAGTACAAGAAGATTAATATGTTCTTTATATACTTATTTACCTTCCTCTAGCATAATATTTTAATTATATTGGTACTGGTTATTGCAATATCTATAAGATTTGCGTTTATGTGTGCTCACGTGCTTTATCACAAGTGCTAAGGATTTCATTAAAATATTAGTTAAATACTAAACTTAATGTCAATATCTTATAATGTAATTGTAAAAATATTTTATTTGTTTGTTCTCATATACTGATAGAAAAAGTAAAAATAAAATACCTAAGTCTTTGTATAATCATTTTATTGATCTAATATATTTTATTAGGTCTGAGAAGAAAAAAGTTCTATGTTATTACCCATTTAGTTATTTTTTACATTTTTTGAAAAATATTTTAATAGTTTGATAAACTTATTATTAAAAAAAATGATCACTACATAATACACTTTATTAAAATAGAAGTAAAATCTTGTAATGACTTAAGTATTATAAGAAAACTTTAAGCTGACAATAAGTTGGAAATATGTTACTACGATTATCTAACAAAGATAAATAAATATATAACTCTTTAAAAATGTTATGGCCAAGATGGAGTATCTCCTGGTTGAACTAAACCCCCATAAAGTGCACTTCTATCTCTAAATAAGGACATTCTCTGTGTTTCTTGATCATCTAAGAACTTTCCAAACCAAGCCCCGAATGAAATTGGAATAGCAGCTGCAAAATATTCCCAAGTTAAGCCAAATAATGCATGTCTTGGTGCCATGATATTCTAAAAATTAAAAAATAATCAAAAGTGTTTAAAATATAATTGTATTTCAATTCTTACCAAGAATCGTTATTTTGATTCTGCAGTTTTTTCCAATTCAAAGTTCTATTGTAATCTGCGTAAATTGCCCAAATTGTACAAATTGGAAAGATTGTAGATAAAGTATTACGTTTAATATGATACCATACGCGATGTAATTCCATTTATCTGAAATATTTATAATAATTCACACTAAGATATAGTAAAATATACAAGAAAAAATTAACATTTATATTGTAATGATAATAGATTATGATTTTTTATACTTACCGCAATACTTTTATGTAAAAAACTACTACTTAATTAATCAGTTTTATATTTATAACATGTTGCAATAATAATGATATTATATTTATACAGTGGTACCTATAACAATTAACTAGTATTCTACAGTGTTTGACCTTGTCGAAATTAAAACCACAGAATTGATAAGATCTTATCTATTCTGTGCACGGCCAAAAAAGATTGGTGACTTCGTTCTTATCAGTGTTTCGCTTATTGAGTCGTAAACGTTTAAGATGTTGTCTACAAAAACACTGTATTTAAGGGAATCTGAGAACATATGTATGTATATTAATCATTAATTATATAAACAATTTTCATTAGATCTATGATATAAGTATACAAAATATAACTTTCTAAACGCAAATTTCCTTAAAAATAACGTTTTTGCAGACAACATCTGAAACGTTTACGACTAATAAATGGAAATATTGAAATAGTGTGCGTGGTGTAGAGTACGCCAATTTTATCCTTTAAAGTTCTATTTTTGTATAAAACTATCATTAATTTAAATAGTATAAAACACTAATTATAGATAGAGCCACAGCATTAAGTTACAAAAAATTAATCTTTTCTACTATATAAAATATTTAGATAAATTCCATAAAGAATTTTAATGCTAATTCTGAATCTGGTTTCAAATTTTTAGAATAGTTTTTTATTTAATTATTTCGACTATTAACTAGTAGGAACGGATTTCATTGAATAATGCATTTTTTTATATATTTTTTTTAATGATTTTTCCCAAGCACACAATTTGATTTATGTGATAGGGAATTCCAAAATAAAACTTTTAATTTGCATTTTTTTAATTTTAAGGTATTTTTGTCGTTTTTGGGACATTTTCACAATTTTTAAAGTATATTTATATAAAATGAATTTTTAGCTTCGAAGCGAAGCTTATAGTAATTATAGTAAGATATAAAACTTAAAAAAACTTTTATTAGCTTCGTTGCGAAGCTAAAAAGGTATTAATTTTACTATGTGCTTTTTTTGTCTATTAACACTTTTTCTCAAGTTTCACTGAACCGAATTCTTTTAATAATACGCCAAAAGATCACAAATCGTATCTAGTTAAAGACTTGCCCTTGAAAATTAAAAAAAATTCCCTGTAAATGGGGCAAATCCCACAATAATTACAAATTTTAAATTTTGACAATTTTTCCTTTTTTTTCTTTTAAAACTGCCACAACTTTTGAAAAATAAACGTACTAAAATAATTTTTTTTATTAGTAACCTTAGGTATTTCCCTTTCATTTTACATTATTTTTTTTAAATTCTGACCCGTTACCTACCCATAGAAGGGGCTACAAAATAACAACTTTTTTTACAAAAGTCAATTTTTTCAAATTAACTTTCGAAAATGTTCCGATAATACTGCGTCCTTTAAACATATGTTAAACTAAAGCTTAGGTTACGTACTAAAATTTAAAAAAAATATTTGTCCCGACAATTTATCTTCTACGGGCAAATCGCTGCGTTATATAAAAAAACATACTACTATTTTTAGCTTCGATGCGAAGCTGAGAAGGTATTAATTTTACCATGATGTGTTTGTCTTTTTAAATACCTATGCAAGGTTTGCCATAGTAATGAGTCTATTAATTTTTATAAAATTTACGATAATCTAACTTAGATTATACATAAATTTAAACATATTTTGATTATTTTAATCGTGTTGAACTCATAATCATCAAATATTGGAGAAAAAAATCGTTTAATTCAAATAATTTAGATAAATATATCAAAATTATGCTACTGTAAAAAATGGTCACTACAAAAATCTTTTTTAAATTAAATATCTCTAAATTAATAGGAGTATAAATATTTTATATTTTATTTTTATAAATTATTTTTTTGATCCTTTAAAGTTGATTTTTATGAAAGTTTAATTTAATTAGTTATAATTTAAAAATGTTGAACTTTTAAACGCTATTTTAGCTCAACTTGTACGTTTAGAATTTATATCATTAAATAGAAAATTTTATGACGAAAAAATTGTATTTTAGCTTCGATGCGAAGCTGAGAAGGTATTGGTTTTACTAAGATGTGTTTTTTTTTTTTTTTTTTTTTTTTTTTTTTT